TTAGGGGCGTGAACAACTTTTATATTTAATGATTGTAAATTGTCAATTATTATGTTCTTGCATGCAAGTGAGGTGTTTAAGCATGCAAGTGAGGTGTTTAAGCATGCAAGTGAGATGTTTAAGCATGCAAGTGAGAGATGAGCTCCCAAAATTGTTTGAAAGAAAATATCAATGAGGTTTGCCCTTTGCCTGTCATAGCTTGGCAGCCAATAAGTTTATAAAATATTGTTACTTGTTGGGGGGCAAAAAATTTTGAGCCTAAAAAGGCCTTAAGGCCCCAAAAAGTGGGCCTTTATGGTCATAACTGGGCCTTTTAAGGCCTTATTTTTTAATTTCAGGCCAAATTTCGAAGTAAATTGGCCTCAAAATTTCAAAATTTGGGCCCACTTTTGGGTGGTTCCCAGATCCGCCCCTGGGGTAAAATTGGCCTTTTTGGCTAAATGTTGGGCAGTTTTAAGTTTTGAAAAATTATTCTTCATAGGGGGATATATATACTTGGACCTCTCGGTATTAACTTATTTTGGTTGCTACAAATGATTTTGAGCTGGGGTTTCTGGGTAGGAAGATAGACTTCTATTGGTTGCAATAATATGAAATTAAGCTGAGGCTTCTGGGTGTTAACCTCTACTGCAGTAACAAGCTAAGGCTGAGGCCTCTGGGTATTTAGCTCTATTGATTTTGTTTACATTTATAATATGTTATTGTACAGAAACTTATTTTTATTTTAAATAGTTACAAAAACAGAATGTCATTTGTTCTATACCATGTTAATTTGAACTAAGCCATGACAAGAAGAAGTAAAGTAGCAAAAGCAGCAAAATGTATAAAATATATCTTTTTTTTCAGAGAAGAAAAAACATGAAAAAGCAATTGCAAAATACAATTACATGGAAAACGTACATTTTACTCTAGAGTATTGGTTACATGTTAGTGTTTAAGAATTTTATACCTTTGGCAATTTTTTTTTATTTAAAGGAAAAGTCATCAGTGTCATTTGTTTAATTTTGCTTCCATGATTTTCCACTTTACTCTAAGAGCGAGGAGGGAAATTCTTAATAAATGGAGTATAGTTGGTTTGGCAGCATTTTCAGTTAGGGGGAAGTCTTATCATATTTATGAAAATAAAAGAATCACATATGTCGAGTTTTACAAAGGTAAATAGAAATCTAATTTATATTTATTTTATATTCACTTCATTGCAAAGAGAAACAAAGGGATAACTGTTCCCAATTGGTTGATTTTACTAAAACTCTGCAATTGACTTAGGTTTTAGGCTAAACGAGCACGCATTAGAAAATCAGATGATCTAAATCACATTGGTTTCAGGAAAAGTTTGAGAGATTTGTTGAAATATTTAATGTAAACATTCATTCTATGATTATATCTCTTTCTAGTTTTAGGAAAAAGTAGTAGATTAAACAAGACAAGAGAGACATAGTTTTTGAGAGGTTAAAAAGAGGAATCAAAATATTATACTAAATTACAGGGTGACCCAGAAATTATAACCCCTCTGTCTCCACAAAAACTAAGACAGACCATTATTTGGTGAGGAAGTTGATTAAAAAATGGAAGGGTACATTTTTTGTGATCACCCTGTACATTGTACTGAAATGCATTGTGCGAAGAGCTTGGGTGGAAAATGTAGCAACCAGTGTCAATACATTGAAGTAGCATCTTGCTTCATCAAGCTTCGGACCTATCCTCAATAGATAGAACATAGTGATTGAGCTGGTAACTGAAGATGTTGAAGTAGAGCAAAACAATAATAGTTTGTGACCAGCATAATACATGTGATACACTCCCTCTCAAAAATTTGGCAGCCTATAACTTTTTGAGGGGGTGTTTGTATATTTTACATTTTAAGAGAAAATATGCAGATCCAATGAATTATTGAATCTGCATGAACATGTTGTTCTCTGGTTTCTGAGCCATCATATTGTATATGCTATTTGCAGAAAATCTGGTTATATAACATTTTTAACTATGAATTCGACATGAAAAGCCACTTACTGTAAGTTTTATAGAGACGCCAAGTATATTTTAGTCTTTTCCATTTCCACTTATGATATAGTTTTTTTTACATTATTTTTCAAATTTTAAACATGTTTCTCCTGTTTCTCTCTATTATGTAAATTGTTGTAAATATAGTATTTATGAAATATAAAATATTATATAAAAATAGATAAAATATATTATTTTAGTTATGTATATGAAAAAGAAAATACATTATGTGACATCTATTAACAGATACTGAATTTATAGAACGTACTAAAGATCATTTGCATGCACCCGTCTATATTCTATGAATCGTATACATCCACTTGAAAATAGAAAATGTGTTTGCCGTAGCTATGTAGAATGCAGATTAGGCCAACTTTTTATTCAGACATATTACTTTTTTTTGCTTATTCTGAGTACCAGCTACCAATATGAGTATCCATATCACCTAATATATCTTACAAAAGAAACACTCGGCCCTCTATAAGATATCTACATTTTCTTCAGCTTTTACCCCCGCTTTTACCCCATATCCAAAACCTCCCATAACATAACCATATTATATATAATATTAGGATTGCCTACAGTTGGGGACAAAAATAAATGACAGGTCCATTTTCAATCACCATTTCCTAATTATGGTGGTCTGAAAGCCCATAATTTCCAATATTGTCTAGATATATATCCCTTAAAATTTGTATATTTTACATTTTGTATAATCTCATCCACTGATGTATGGCCTCTTGTAAATTCTCTTATTTTTAACATGGGAAATCCTCACTTCAGCAAATCCACCTGTCATTTATTTATGTCCCCAACTGTATATTATCATGTTATGTCATCCTGATCTATTATACCACACTGTGCTTTATTCATCGTAGATAACTAAAACTCCAGTGCAGTATCAAATACAATTTTATCTTATTGTTTTCATATTTCGACTTCACTATTTTGTTTCTATTATACAAAGAACATAAGTCCTATAATACAACAGTTATAGTTCAAAAGCAACCCGGCCAACCATTCCCCAAATGAATGTTATTCAAACACGATTTATCAGATTTAATATGAAAAATATAGTTGTTTGTTTTATCGGTTTCGAGGATCCGTTCGAATGGACATTTTATAAATGGCTGTTTTGTCATTTTAAAGGTTACTCTTGGATATTTATTAGGCAATCTGATTACATATGGTGATAATGAAGTTCGATACCCCGGGACAAATCATTTTATTTAAAAGTTCATATTTGTTTATCGAGTCTAAATATTTCATTTTGTTCAACAAAAGCTGTTGGCAAATTAATGAGAAAATCTAAACAAATACTTAGTGGTACAAATTCAATTTACAACTTACCAAACAATACCTGTAGTTATGCAGCGTGGAATCGTGTACGGGTTGGCCATTATTTGCCTCGGATGTTTCTCAGTTTCTAGAGCTGGGAAAATGCAACGCCTGATTGAAAAACTGAAAACCGATCTGAAAGAAGATTCTTCTAGCATAAGAGACGAGGTGAAAAATCTTAGAGACGACGTGACTAATCTACGAGATGGGGAATGTGCTGACAGAGACAATATCCTTGAACTTAAGAATTCACTGGTTGAATTAAAGGAACTGTTGAAGGAGCTCCCGTGTGACAATAATGTTTCAGAACAATCTGCTACAGAAGATTGCAATAGACAATCTGATGGCGTTCAAAGAATTCTCCCCAAAATAGGAAAACCATTTCTTGCAAGATGTGAAGCCGGGTGGCTTATCATTGCACATCGTTATGATGGAAGTGTAGATTTCAATAAAGTCTGGGACTACTACAAACATGGCTTTGGTAAAGTCTGGAAAGAACACTTCATAGGATTTGAAAATATTCTCTCTGTATTGCAACAGAAGGGATACAAAGCTAGGTTCGACCTCACCACATGGGAGAATGAGACAAAATACGCAGAATACCTAATTTTCGACATTAATGATAGGAAAGACAAATACAGAATAAATATCGATGGTTATAATGGTACAGCAGGTGATGCAATGCAAGATGCCAACCATTAACAATTCAGCACCAAGGATTCGAGTAATGATAATTTTGGTGGTACAGGTAGTTGCACTTTGAGTGGTGGACCTCATTGGTATGACGCGTGTCTTGGGGCAGGGGGCTCTATCTTTGGCATGTACTCCAAGAGTCCAAAATGTCCAAGTATATGGTCCTGTTTAACTTGGCAAGAATGGCCAAAGAAGCTTCCAGGAGTTGATCACAATGGTTATTACTCTTTTAAAGAAGTGAAGGTCAAAATTCGACCTATCTAAATGTTGCCTTCAAGGTGCTATTTGACATAATGTGATACTGATTATGAAATGGTGTAGACACTACTTGAATGAATAAATGAACTGGCATAACGAGCACAGGTTTAGAACTTTTAACATTCATTGTCCGATATCAGGATTCTGTTATAATGAAATAAAACCAATCACTGCACGGATACAAACAATTTAAAATGTATTGTTTTGAATATTTATTAATGGGTAATAAATTGTGGAGGGATTTAAGAGAATGAATCCGTTATATACTTGTTAGAAAAAAATAGTCTGATCATCCATTATCTTCATTCATTATAATCGGGTTTATTCCAAACACTGTTGCAGGTCGAAATGTTTGGATTCAGTCATGTAAGACTACAATATAAACCAAAGTGGCTTTAACTTTATATGGGTCCTTTCAATGGAAACTTTATGAATATCTATTAATTTGGTTAGTTGAAAGGTTACTCGTATATTTAATGATGATAAAGTTCAATACCTTCTGAAAAATTATTTTGTTTATTTTGTTTAAAAGTTACCATTTGTTTATCAAATCTAAATCTACAATAACAAATATCTCATTATGCTCAACAAAGGCTTTTGTCATATCATTAATACTGACATAATTATTAACATAGCATTTTATTCAACTCAAAAAAGATACTGCCACAAATTCATTTCACAAACTATTTAACAACAACTCCACCATAAACATGAAGCATGGACTCGCGTACGGGTTTGCGATTCTTTGGCTCAGTTGTTTTTCAGTTTCTAGAGCTGGAAATCTAGAAAAGGCAATACAACTCTTGATTGAAAAACTGAAAATCGATCTGAAAGAAGATTCCTCTAGCATCAGAGACGTGGTGTCAAATCTTCGAGACGTGGTGTCTAATCTAAGAGACGATGTGTCTAATCTAAGAGACGATGTGTCTAATCTAAGAGACGATGTGTCTAATCTAAGAGATGGTCAATCGGATATAAGAGACATTAATTTTATATTGATGAAGCATTTAGATGAACGCATAAGTGGCAACATCGTCATAAATGATACTAAAGCTGATATTCCAGTTATCTCTGACGGTGAGGCTAAAGTTAATTATTCATTTTTGGTCAAGTGATTTACATTGCTGCAAGGTTTGTTTTCTGAGAGTCAAAGATGAAAAATAATTTCTCGAATGACGTTTATTTTGTATTTGCAGCGTGTTCTAAGGCAGCAACAATGTTTGAAACAATTCAGGATCAGTTAAGGAGTTTCCCAAAAAAGTGTCCCTTTGATGTTGGAGGTAGGGATATCTAGATGAATCTAATATATCTCTTATAACACTAAACAATAATGGGAAACTTACGACTTGAACTTTTATTTGATTAAAAATCCGTACGAATGTCTTAAAGCATTAGAAATGCGATTTTATTATCAGATTTTTCAAATCAAAGTGTCTCAACTTTCAATCAATGTTTTGATAAAAGATGAGCAAAGGAGATAAGAGTCATTTCTTTTTGATGCATGTTCATGTAATGAATGAATTGAAAAGATTTTATACAGATTAATTTGATTTGTAATGTCTTTTCATGCTCCTATATTAGGTAATTGCAGCAAGGCATTTGGGGCAGACACTGTAAAGGAAGATCTTGATATGTTGAAAGAACAAATGAAGAAACTAGCAGATGTATGCAAGACAGAATCAGATGTCGAAATATATAAAGGTAGACACCTGCTTTTGAATTAACTTTGTTTGAAGCCAAATATTACTTGTATGTCAATAAATTTCCCAAGCGCTTCTATCACTCATCGTTACTTATCGTTATGGTACATTGAGCATCCGTGTCCTCTAGCTTCAATGTAGGCCAGTTTGTGCCACATAAGGAAGGTTAAGATAAGCCTAAAAATATACGTATATCTGTACCTATCTGCATGTTTGTATTGCTTCGTGCACTAATAAACTACGTATATATGTATAGGTATACGTAAGTTGGCTATTTGCGCTTAACCTCCTTAACCTCCCTATAAAGTCTCTGTTAACGGTCAATGCAGAGATTAATGCTATTCCAAAACTTGTGATGGTACATCAACAAACCTTTCCTTAAAACAGAATTACCCAGTTAAACTTTCGGATGTTATGTTTATTCTTTGTTTGTCAGAAGACTTTTATAGATTATTCCTTTATCACGCAAAAGGTTATCATTTGGTTGTCTCAATATAACATGGAAAATGGGTCATGGTACTCAAATTTGTCTCTGACACAAGATCTTGTTAATGGTATACTATTTGTCAGAAGATTAAATTTCAATATATATCTTTCTTTTATATCTTTTTTATGGACTCTTTAGATGTCATATCATGACATATTAGTCACTAAGGTAGAGCAGTTCTTCCCATTGTCGAGTTGAAGAACTGGTATCTTTATCCTGGCTAGAACCATAGACAATTCTAGCCAGCGCCAGCCTTTTATCGAGTTAGCAGCACTCTAGTAATCGCCGGTATAGGTCAGCAGTCATAGGTCAAAGACAAATCACAAGAAGTGCTGTGACCTGGGTTTGAACCCAAGACCTCTACTTTTTCAGCCTGAAGCCAGACTTCCTGCTTTTCAGACCAATGCCTTAACCACTAGGCCAACCCACGCTCAGAGTTATTTTAGGTTTGCTCTCCAATTTCTAGGGATACTGTACATAATGGTTTTACTTTTCATGCATTTTTCTACATAGTGCTTACCACATTAAGTCATTATCAATTCTTTTCCAGAACCATGTACCAATGCCACTTTGTCTATATCAGAGGATTGCTTTGGACGACCTGATGGTGTTCATATAATTCTTACCAAAAGAGGAAAACAATTTCTTGCAATGTGTGAAGCTGGGTGGCTTATCATTGCACATCGTTACGATGGAAGTGTAGATTTCAATAAAGTCTGGGAGTCCTACAAACTTGGCTTTGGCAAAGTCTGGAAAGAACACTTCATAGGATTTGAAAATATTCTTTCTTTATTGCAACAGAAGAGATATAAAGCTAGGTTTGACCTCACCACATGGGAGAATGAGACAGGATACGCTGAATACCATACATTTGACATTAATGATGAGAAATACAAATACAGAATAAACATCGATGGTTATAGTGGTACAGCAGGTGATGCAATGCAAGATGCCAACCATAATCAATTCAGCACCAAGGATTTGAGAAATTATAATTTTGGTGGTAGTTGCACTTTGAGTTTTGGTGGACCTTATTGGTATGGTACGTGTCTTAGGGTAGGGGCCTCTATCTTTGGCATGTACTCCAAGAGTCCAAAATGTCCAAGTATATGGTCCTGTTTAACTTGGCAAAAATGGCCAAAGAAGCTTCCAGGAGTTGATCACAATGGTTATTACTCTTTTAAAGAGGTAAAGTTCAAAATTCGACCTATTTGAATATTGCCTTCAAAGAGGCATTTGACATAATGTGTTTCAAATGTTGATTAAAGATTGGTATGGACAATACTTGAAAGAATTTATGAATTGGCAATTGAGTTTTTTGAAATTGCATCATTCATTTGATGATTAAAAGTAAGAAATTGACAACAATTAGATGTATTTATAAAATGGGCATTTGTTTGATTTGTTGGAAAATATAATGATATGATCATGCAATCAATCCTGAATCAACACATTATTTCATTCTGGTCAAGAAAATGTGCTGGCAACTTTATATGTACACGCCTAGCCATCGACAACGTACAGTGACAAAATATACGGGTGTACACTTTGGCTGTACGTTATCATGTTTGAAGCAAAAATTGTGATGTGCGTTTTTAAAGATTTATTTAAGGAATATGAGAATTAAGTATTTAATGTTGAATTCCATGTCAATGCTCTTGGCAAGACTTTTAAGTGTATGTACATGAAATTAAACATGACGCTCTTAATCATATTCCTTGGATAAATATTTTACGTCTGAACTATTTATTCGTAGACATTTAGATTTTCTTAAACACGGATTTATTCAATGAAAAACGTTTGTGGTAAAAATGTCGTTGAAATTCTGCCTACAACTTGTGAAATGAGGAAAAAAGAAAATTCGTAACTTCGAAGTTCCGACAGTTACAAAGAAGCTTGAGACAACAACATTTACTTAGCACAAAACCTTCAACATTATATACTAATAGATACATAAGATTAACATTAGATATCTGACCAACCCCGAGATATATCGGGATGCTCTCCAATAATTGTCACATGATTTGTACCAATAATCTTACCAAATATTGTAAGGGCTGCTAGGGGACCATGGTTGGGTGCAATTAAAATATATTGTTGCTGATGTAGTCCATTTAATGCTAATATGAAAACATGCAATTTTGCTTTTCATCAAAATGGCCAGTCAGCAGCTGAAAATCTCCAAAATAGCTTTGGCCAGCAATGAGTTGAATATTGGTAAATATGGCGGCATGACACATTCAAAACCAATAAATGTTAAAAATGAGTATTTTTCATGTAATTGAAAATAGCTAGACCTTGAAAATGAACTTTTCTCATTGTTTTATGTATTTTAAAATAAAATGCCTTTATCTAGATTCGGTCAGCATACTTATTGATCATTCCGGTTGTAAATAACTTTGATAACTCACGAATACGCCCGTGAAAACATGTCATATCTCACTTATAAATGGTCGCATCTTTTCATTTTGGTTCTGTTGGCATAGAAAACATTCAGTCAGAGTGTGATGACAGCAGTGTATTTGCTTCTCACCTACTACCGATTATATCTGTATATGTACCCATTATAGTAAATGTAAAATTTATTCTGTGAAAAACGTCACGGTCGTTAAAACAGGCCCAGACGGCAGAAGGGAAACTCGAGATAAATAAATTGTCGTGGTGATCAAGTCTTCAGTTCAGTTTATCAGATCATTGTGTTACAAATCGTGATAATAGTTGTGATTGAATGATAATGAGCATGATCTGAAAAATTCTGAAAAATCACCGTTTTGCTTGTGAAAAACGACCATGATGTTACTCATATATTGACAGTAGTCTTGTTGGAAATGGGACACATTTCAAGAAAAACAATGTGTCCACTCCATCATAACATAAAAGGATTTTCGAAATAGCCAGCATTATCGTCACGCGTGAAAAACGTCACGGTTATAGCATTGAACTCAAAGCAGTAATACGCCATTTTTATAAATCCCAGATGGATTGGTTTAATTTTATATGATGACTCATATTCTTAAAACACATGTTTAACAGTTATTCAGTAATTACGCATAAAGCTCAACTCATAGACAAGGAAACGATAACGGCTATAGAATTTGCCCTTTTGTAAATGTGCTTTTTACATTTTATACGTCTTAACAATAATATGTAACATGCAAGCAAATGACAAGTTATTTGGGAATTCCGTAAGCATAATTTATCGGAAAAGTCATAACAAAAAATGTAATATGAAGACCATTAAAGCCCAAAATAGTTGACCCTCAGTAAATAACGTTTCGTTCAGTCTATTCCCGGGGATCACTGAATTCAATCATAAAGTCCCTTAATGTTTGCATTCTGATTTCTTTTCAATGGATGCAATTATTATTAATGGAGAACAGCATACACCGAAACCCCTAGTTAAGTAATATGAACGATTACAGCTTTTCAACGATGTTTTCGTGTTATAATTAATTTCTATTTCAATTCCATTTGCACGATCTGTATATGATCTGTAATATTCAATATGCCTTCGCGAAACGCAATTCGATGGAAAAGAGACAGAAAAAAGCAAAAACTAAGCAATGCCCGAGAATATTAAAGAAAATTTAAGGCAAGCAATGCAAAAATACACTCCTCTTTGAAATATATCGCCAACCGACAACAAAAAGAAATAGGAAACACAAAATACACGCTTCGAGAATGGAGGCAACAAAGCGAGATTAATTCATTCAAGGTTCTCTTTCTCTAAAACAAAACCGGGGTAACGCATTGCACTGAACATTAAACTTCCAGAACTTCAGAGAAAACTGAAAATCACAGGAAAGAATTGAGTTTATGCTTAGAGTTATGTGATGTGATATCAGAAACCGTTGAAAAAGTATCGAGTCTGACAAAAAAATTAGTTCTAGGACTGCCGACTTGACTCAGCTCGAATGAAGCAAAACACAACAATAAGAACGTTTTCAGTTGCCATAAAAATGTCCTTGTGATGAGATCGGGGCATCGAGGAAGCGCTCCGCAGAGCAAAAGAAAATTTCATATTCACAGTCCAGCATCCTCCGATCACAGGGCTTCAAAATCCAGAATATATTCTTTCTTACGGATTCTGGATACCTGCTTAGGAGGATGCAGTCCAGATGATTTTCATGCTTTGGCTACGTCAGACTTAAAAAAGTCAGCAACATCATTATTATTTCTTTCAAATGATTATGTACAATCAAGTAGATGTAACAGATTTTAAATGAAAAAGTCTCTCTTGAAATTTGAAATCTTTAAAAAGGACTTTTCTGATGCATGATTGAATGCTGTTAATGTCATTTGGGATGAACATGTATGGTTGCCGTGCAGTTTGTGGTGCATGCAGGAAAGACTTCACTACGTCACCCTGCAGCTGGTCTACTCTACACCCATAGTAAAAGTTTCGTGAATTAAGACTCCTCTTAAGTGAACATATAACTCATTGTCATTTGTTTCCAATTTTCTTGTGAAAACCGACACGCGGAAAAAAGGTGAACCAGCCTAATGATCAATGCTCCCCAAATAAAAATTTTATCATTTTCTATTCGTCTAAAGCATAATTTTTTTATGATCGAATCGATTCATGTTCTAATAGGGTTGACCCCTTTTAATTTTACTCAGATAAAAAACACAACGTATGAAAAAATCGAGAAAAATGATGGATTCGGATGTTTCATGTTGACAAGTGACGCACATCAAAAGGGAAATACTTATAGTCCAAATTCATTTATGATTTTAAAGGACAGTAGAGTAGCATAAGGAAAGCCATTGGCTTTTTGAAATTGCTGCATTCTAATGTGAATATCTTGGCATTTTAATCACGGACTGAAAATGTGAAAATCGTCACGTTTGAGACGGGCCCTAATTTCAATTTGAAATTCCACCTATTGTTCCTCGGAGTTTACTTCAATGCTTTGGGTAACGTGTGTATAAATGTATACAGATACATACTACATGTCTATTTGAAAAAATAATTTTAATGCTTTTTTGAATTTTTAACAAAATTTGTTCCACGCTTAAGCCGTTTTCAGTGGACAGATTCTGCGATCATGTGCCATCGGTATATTTTCAGATGTATTAAATGCCAATAGCAGCAATAGTGCTAAACGAACCTCAAACATTTTTAATTTATAAAATTACATATTAAATTACATATTAAAGGATTTAAGTTCAGAGCTCAATGACTTGTTGACGATTCAAATTTTGAATATGTTGCGCATTTTTCAATTTTAAAAGCTAACTAATTCACAACATGAATAATTTTCCAAGGTTCAATTATTGCAGAAAACAAGTTTTATTTCCTAAAAGTTATCATGATAGATTAATTTCATTTTTGAAATCAGATCCAATTTATGGAACAACATAGGGGAACATTAAACCAAATTCAACGTCTCATGCGGGAATCGAACCCAGGACCTCCCGCTGCAGACGTCGGACGCTTGATACCCCTGAGCCATGATGAAGGCCAACCACTACAGCAAATACTGTAGTAGCGATTTGATTTTGAAGGTCATTACACCATCCCCCTGAAAACTGATTCACAAGGGCAACCACTCCTGACACAACTATAACAAGCCTTTGGCATGTCCGGGGAGCTGAAGTGCAACGAGCCAGATAATAGACATGTAATGTAATGAGTGAATGTGCTAAATTCTCAGTGAGGGAATCGAACCCAAGACCTTCCGCTCTGGAGTCAGACGCTCTACCGATTCGGCCATAAGGGCTAACCGCTACAGCAGAGACTAAAGTAGCGACTTGTTATCGAAGGTCATTACAGATACTCCATGGTAAGATATCTATATTTTCCTCAGGTTATAGCCTAATTCATATCCAAAAAACTCCCATAAAATAACCTCTTTATAGTCATTATCTTGCACATTGCAATTCATATAAAACTGCAGTGCTCATACAACTATTTTCACATTTCTATATCATATATTACTTTTATTATGGAACAAATGCAATTATAATTATTATCAGATGCAATCACAATTTGTTGTAGCTAAACAGTATGTGATATTATTCAAACACTTAAAATAAATCAAACAATGTTTAATTAGTTTTTTTGTAGTTTGAAGGCTACTCAAGGATATTTATGGAATATTTATACATATACTGATAATGAAGTTCAAAACCTGCTGAAAAATTAGTTTTTATTATTTTATTTAACCATTTGTTTATCTATCTATATATGTGCACTTAAACATATCTCATTTTGTTTAACAAAGGCTTTTGACAGAATAGCAATACAGACCTCTATAATGTTAATCGGTGTCATTAGGTGTGTTGATAACATAATTATTCTTCAACAACAAAAATACTGCCAAAAATTCATTTTACAAATTATTAGACAGCAATTCTTACCATAAACATGTATTGTGGATTCATATATGGGTCGGCCATTATTTTCATCGGCTGTGTTTCAGTTTCTAGAGCTGGAAAACTGGAAAGCGCAATACAACTCTTGATTGAAAAACTGAAAATTGATCTGAAAGAAGATTCCTCTAGCATAAGAGACGAGATAGCAAATCTACGAGATGATGTCTCAAATCTACGCGATGATCAATCAAATTTACGAGATGGTCAATCGGATATCAGGGACAATATTTTTGAAATGAAGAAACAGTTGGATGAACATACAAATGACAACATCGCAAAAACTGACACTGACCCTAAGGCTGATGATCCAGTTTTCTCAGATGGTGAAGCTCAAAATTATTTATCTTTCATCAAGTAATTTGCATTGCTACATGATTCAAATCTGAGATTCAAATTAAAGATGTTATTAATGATCACATGAAAAAACACATTTATTTTGTGTTTACAGGTTGCAATAAGTCAACAACAATGTTTCAAACGATCCAGGATCAGTTAAAGAGCTTCCAACAAAATTGTCCCAAAGATGAGATCTCTGTCAGTCGTCCTGTTGATGATGGAGGTGAGGTTAAAATATAAGAATGAACTGTGATGGAAAATGCATGTACATCGTAAAATTAGTTTTCCATATTCAGATATTCTATTGTAGTTTTGTTCCTATTTTGACTTATCTTTGTGGAAGTTTCTTGCTTTTCTTTCCAGACATATTGCATATTGTAACTTATTTTCAATATCAATTCTTTTCCAGAACCATGTAACAATGCCACTTTGCCTGTATCAGAGGACTGCTTTGGACAATCTGATGGTGTTCTTATTATTTTAAACAAAATAGGAAAACCATTTCTTGCAAGGTGTGAAGCTGGGTGGCTTATCATTGCACATCGTTACGATGCAAGTGTGGATTTCAATCTAGACTGGGACTACTATAAACATGGTTTTGGCAATATCTGGAAAGAACACTTCATTGGATTGGAAAATATTGTGTCTGTGTTGCTCCAGAAGAGATACAAAGCCAGGTTTGACCTCACAACATGGGAGAATGAGACGGGATACGCAGAATACCAAACCTTTGACTTTAATGATAAGAAAGACAAATACAGAATAACAATCGATAGTTATAGTGGTACAGCTGGTGATTCAATGAAATATTCCAACCATATGCGATTCACCACAAAGGATTCTGATAATGATAACTATGTTGGTAATTGTGCCTTGGTTTTTGGCGAACCCCATTGGTATGACACATGTGGTAATGATGTCAAGGGCTCTATCTTTGGTATGTACTCAAAGACTCCGAAATGTTCAAAAGTATGGCGTTGTTTAACTTGGTATGATTGGCCTAAAAAGCTTCCTGGAGTCAATAGCAATGCCTACTACTCTTTCAAAGAAGTAAAGCTCAAGATTCGATTTAAATGTTGCCTTCAAAATAACATTTGACATTATCTATTTCACACATATTGATTGAAGAATGGTAGACAAAATTTGGATAATCTATTTGGCAAAAACATAAAGTTTAGAACAATCAGGCATGCATTTTTTGTCCGATATTAACATTTTGTAATAATTAATGAAATAAAATGAATCAAATGGATAAACCATTTAGAGAAAAAAGCCAGGTTTGACATCAGCACATGGGGAAATGAGACAAAATACGCAGGATACCAAACATTTGACAACACAGGTTAAACACTGATGGTTTTAAGGGTACAGCAGGTGATACTTTAAAATATTCCAACCATATGCGATTCAGTACCAAGGACTCTGACAATGATGATTATTATACAGTAGTCGTTGTAATTGTGCCACGTCTTATGGACCTTTTTGGTATGACAAATGTGACGGAATACAAGGCTCTATCTTTGGTAGATATTCCAGGATTCCAAAATGTTCAAAGGCATGGAGCTGTGTAACTTGGTATGAAAGGCCTACAAAATTTTCTGAAGTTGAGGAACATTCCCTTTACTCATTTATGCCATGGTCACATATGCTCCAATTTTCACTACGGCGCCCGGCCGATGAGTATTTTGTTCAAAATCGGCCGGCGAGCCCGGGCATCGTACGGGCGCCGGGCGATGATCGCTCATCATCGGCCGATTTTTAGACATCGAACGGGCGCCGGCAGAGTTTTATCGCGGAGATAAAAGTTGCCGATGTCTTGGCGATTTTTTCTCAACCAAACTCATCGGTATCTACCCGGCCGTGTCCCGTCCGGTCATCGTACGATTATCTTGCGGCGCCCGGTGGCATCGCACGGATTTTGCGAGCTGATTTGTTTGATAAATCTTAATAATGATTACTTATAAAGTGGTATAACGGTTTTAGAAATAATGGGGTAAGGAATTATAATTACTACACACTGTCAGAGATTTTTTATAAAACATAAATGGAACGATTAAGCTTTCTGTAAAACAATGGCACACTTTTGAATACCTGGGTGGGTTGATCTTGTCGTTCTTATATTGACATTAATCGTGTATGTCTGTCATACACATTGAATGGAGTGATACATTTTTATGCGTATATTCACTCATGCATACCATTACAAATTATTTATTTAAAAAAACCTTTTGAATGTTTTTGTGAGTACAGTATTTTCAAGGGTCACAATTTTACTGTCACAATTACAACGTTATATGCCAAAGGCTAAGGATAGAGGGGATAAGGCCAATGGGCCATATATGAGGAATTTCTTGGGAAGACAGGTGGAAAAAAGACAATAGAGGGTACTCCACTTAAAATAGAGGAAAAAATTGCCAATTTCTTTTAAGATATTTTATGACCAAACTAATTTTCTTCACAAGAACAGACAAAAGAAAGATGCAGAAATAGGGAATTTTGCTAATAGCATCGGATGGACAGGTAGACATAGTATTTGTTTATAGTACTATGAAGGTGCACTTTGATGAAAAGACCACGTGCAGTATGGCAAGTGATTTTAGACGGTAATATCTTTCACCACGAGTATTGTATTGTATTGTTTTGTATTGTATTGTATCTTTTATTCCAATTGAAGTACCCATGATGATAAAAATATCAATCAAACAATTCGAAAAATTATGAATAGGGACCCAATATCAAAATTTTTTCTAAATACTAAACCTATTTACTCAAAAGAGGATCTTCTTTTTCTGATTTTTATTGCATGAAAACATTATTATCCTGGAAGTCCTGTCTATCAAAGTATTTCGTTTTCAAATGTTGGATTCACGCCATGTGGAACAGTCATACTGGGTCATACAGTAATTTAGTATAAATCTAGAGGCCTGTAGATCGACCGATGTCCTGGCGGGTGCCGTACGGCCACCGGCAGATAGCCTTGCGATACCCGTGCGATGTCTTTCAGATTCAATTGATTGCGGGCGCCGTACGATGCCTGTACTAATGTGACCATACTCACGATTAGATGAAGACATCGGTGAAAAGTCACCGGCGCCCTGTCGATTTAGAAATCGGCCGACGATCGATGATCATCGGCCGGCGCCCGGCGCCTATGTGACCTAGGCATTAAGGAGGTTTGACGCAATGTAGTTTATATACAATATCTTGTGTCAAGTGTTTGACGCAATGTAGTTTACTAGTTCAAATTATGTTCATTTTTTCAGGAAAAGAAAGAAGAGACTGTACTGTGTATGTATAGCTCCTGTAGAATGTTAGTTGTAAAACATGATGCCTTGGACACCTGCTCAAAAGACAATTGTGCTAGGAAGAAAAACGCATTCAGTGGTGACTACAACTGCAAAAAACTGAATAACTTCCTAACCATAGTGTTTTGGCTCTTCAGATTTGGCACAAATCATCTTCATTCACTGTATGGTAAATCTATAGAGTGAAATCAAAATCACTACAGGCAGACTTAAGAAGGCATTTTGACCATGACTGTAAAGTCCCTGAAGTGATTTTGATGAAACTCCACAATTTCACCACACATTGAATGAGGATAATCTTTGCCAAATCTGAAGTGCCAAAACACAATGGTTAGAAAGTTATTTGGTTTTATTGCTGTGGTAGTCCCCTCTGACTGCATTTTTCTTTTTCTTAGTACAACTGTCTTTTGAGCAGGTGTCCAAGGCATAATGTTTAACAACTTACTAACAACATGAGCTATACATACACAGTCTCTTCTTTCTTTTCCTGAAAAAAATGAACATAATTGAATTAGTCTTATATATATTTTTTTTTACATAGTCTGACTACCTTAGACCCCACTTACTCAACCCCTAGGTGTAATAGGTCCCCGTCAGTACACTTCATTTATAACATGCCACATCTAAACAGTGGGTGTGTTTTATTTTTCTTGAACTTTTCGTATATCTATATGTAACATTGTAATTGAAAGCGGACATAAAATGCCAAAAGGCGATTTGCCGCATGATTGTGTATTATGCCATAAAAAATATATTAAATTAAATGAAATAAAACTATTGTTTTAAAAAAAATTGAATTAGTATTTTCCAAGATATAGTGATTTCTTTGGGTTGCGTTTTTTGAATGCCTTGTATATTAGTTAAGAATGGCACGGATAATTAATACTTGAATGAACTTAAAACATTATGAGCTTAATTGTCAGAATTTTGTAACAAATTAATAAAATAAATCAAACAGACATAAATCATTTAAAGTCACGTGGCGGACTATACCCACCGTGTATAATAGCTGTTTTGTATTAAGCTCTCATCTGTTTGAATGGACACTTTATAAATGGCTATTTTGTTATTTGAAAGGTTACCGTTGGATATTTATTAGGCAACTTGATTACATATAATGATAAAACAGTCCAATAATGAAAAATTAGTTTGTTTATTTTGTTTATCTTTCATTTGTTAATCAACTCTTAATCTACGATTACAAATATCTCATTTTGTCATCAAAAACTGTTGACAGATTATTAAAGACCTCAATAGCGTAACTCAATGGGCAATATTATAAGCAAATTATTAAGCTAACATATTGCTGAAATCTAAACAAACACTTAGTGGTACAAATTCATTTTTTAAATTACCAAACAAAAGTTATGCAGCGTGGAATCGTGTACGGGTTGGCCATTCTTTGCCTCGGATGTTTCTCAGTTTCTAGAGCTGGGAATCTGGAAAAGAAAATGCAACGCCTGATCGAAAAACTGAAAACCGATCTGAAAGATGATTGCTCTAGCATAAGAGATGAGGTAGCGAATCTTAGAGACGATGTGTCTAATCTACGAGATGGGGAATGCGCTGACAGAGACAATATCTTTGAACTCAAGGAATCACTGGTTGAATTAAGGGATCTGTTGAAGGAGCTCCCGTGTGACAATAATGTTTCAGAACAATCTGCTACAGAAGATTGTAATAGACAATCTGATGGCGTTCAAAGAATTCTCCCCAAAATAGGAAAACCATTTCTTGCAAGATGTGAAGCCGGGTGGCTTATCATTGGACATCGTTATGATGGAAGTGTGGATTTCAATAAAGTCTGGGAGTCCTACAAACTTGGCTTTGGCAAAGTCTGGAAAGAGCACTTCATAGGATTTGAAAATATTCTCTCTGTATTGCAACAGAAGGAATACAAAGCTAGGTTTGACCTCACCACTTGGGAGAATGAGACAAAATACGCAGAATACCAAATTTTCGACTTTAATGATAGGAAAGACAAATACAGAATAAGTATCGGTGGTTATAATGGTACAGCAGGTGATGCAATGCAAGATGCCAACCATAATCAATTCAGCACCAAGGATTCGAGAAATGATAATTTTGGTGGTAGTTGCATTTTGAGTTTTGGTGGACCTTATTGGTATGGCGCGTGTCTTGGGGCAGGGGGCTCTATCTTTGGCATGTACTCCAAGAGTCCAAAATGTCCAAGTATATCGTCCTGTTTAACTTGGCAAGAATGGCCAAAGAAGCTTCCAGGAGTTGATCACAATGGCGATTACTCATTTAAAGAGGTGAAGTTCAAGATTCGACCTATTTAAATGTTGCCTTCAAAGTGCTATTTGACATAATGTGATATTGATTATGAAATGGTGTAGACACTACTTGAATGAATAAATGAAGTGGCATAACGAGCACAGGTTTAGAACTTTTAACATTCATTGTCCGATATCAGGATTCTGTTATAATGAAATAAAACCAATCACTGCACGGAAACAAACCATCTAAAATGTATTGTTAGTACCTCAGTTGAAATACTCGATTTTGATTGGTCAACGAGCGGTGAATAATTTTAACTGTACACCGCGCAATGCATTGCCGGTGAATAATATTCCCAGCATTCCACTAAAATGACGTCATTATCAGACGATAAAATGGCCGCCGCTAGCACTAGCCGTTTCAAAAATGTTGAAGATGAGGCTATTATTAGACTCTTAGAGAGTAAAGACAGTCAAAATACGAAGAAAAATCTAAAACTATGTACAAAGCTTTTAGTGGACTTCGCCCAGGAGAGTAATTTGACTCCATTGAGTGAACTTACTGCCGATATACTGAAATACAACATGAACGTCTCGAGGGTCTGGATCCAACTTCAAGTCAACTTCAAGGGTCAGAAAAATCTAAGATATTCTTCGGACTAACAAAACAATTATAGACCTCTCCATTCGGTTTACTGTCAAAATTATATCCCTCGACTGTAAACCTCGACCTACGGTCTCGGTTTACAGTCTCGGGATATAATTTTGACAGTAAACCTCTGGAGAGGTCAATAATTGTATATTGTTTTGAATATTTATTAATGGGTAATAAATTGTGGATGGAATTAAGAGAATGAATCCGTTATATACTTGTTAGAAAAAAATAGTCTGATCATCCATTATCTTCATTCATTATAATCGGGTTTATTCCAAACACTGTTGCTAGTCGAAATGTTTGGATTCAGTCATGTTAGACTACAATATAAACCAAAGTGGCTTAAACTTTATATGGGTGCTTTCAATGGAAACTTTATGAATATCTATTAATTTGGTTAGTTGAAAGGTTACTCGTATATTTAATGATGATAAAGTTCAATACCTTCTGATAGATTATTTTGTTAATTTTGTTTAAAAGTTACCATTTGTTTATCACCTCTAAATCTACAATTACAAATATCTCATTATGCTCAACAAAGGCTTTTGTCATATCATTAATACTGACATAATTATTAATATAGCATATTATTCAACTCAAAAAAGATACTGCCACGAATTCATTTCACAAATTATTCCACCATAAACATGAAGCATGGACTCGCGTATGTGTTTGCGATTCTTTGGCTCGGTTGTTTTTCAGTTTCTAGAGCTGGAAAGCTGGAAAGCGTAATACAACTCTTGATTGATAAACTGAAAATCGATCTGAAAGAAGATTCCTCTAGCATCAGAGACGATGTGTCAAATCTTCGAGACGATGTGTCAAATCTTCGAGACGATGTGTCTAATCTAAGAGATGATGTATCTAATCTAAGAGATGATATGTCTAATCTAAGAGATGGTCAATCGGATATAAGAGACATTAATTTTATATTGATGAAGCATTTAGATGAACGCATAAGTGGCAACATCGTCATAAATGACTCTAAAGCTGATATTCCAGTTATCTCTGACGGTGAGGCTAAAGTTAATTATTCATTTTTGGTCAAGTGATTTACATTGCTGCATGGATTGTTTTCTTAGAGTCAAAGATTGGTAAAAATTATCCAATTGCTATTGGAGGAAGGAATATTTAGATTTAATTATATCTCTCTCTAAATGAACTGAAAATATTTTATTCAGATTAATTTGATTTGTAATGTCTTTTTATATTCCTATATTAGGTAATTGCAGCAAGGCATTTGGGGCAGACACTGTAAAGGAAGATCTTGATATGTTGAAAGAACAAATGAAGAAACTAGCAGATGTATGCAAGACAGAATCAGATGTCGAAATATATAAAGGTAGACACCTTCTTTTGAATTAAATTTGTTTGAAGCCAAATATTACTTGTATGTCAATAAATTTCCCAAGCGCTTCCATCACTCATCGTTACTTATCGTTATGGTACATTGAGCATCTGTACCCTCTAGCTTCAATGTAGGCCAGTTTGTGCCACATGAGGAAGGTTTAAGATAAGCCTAAAAACATACGTATGTATTTCATACCTACTGAGGTTCTAGGTACATAACGAGCGGGAATATATACTGTATCTAGCCAAGGCCCGGGGCGGAATGGATACACGCTGTATCCACCCCGGTCCCGCTCCTGAACTTTTTTTTCACAATTTTTTCAAATTTGTTTTGAATTTTTTTCAAATTTTTACATTTTTCCAAAAAAAATTTTCACATTTTTCAAATTTCATTTTTCAAAATATTAGTTATATGAGTTTGAAAATCTCAGAAACTAACTTTATAACACCAAGAAAATGCGTATCTTAAGTATATTTTTGAATTTTGGAACTTAAGGTATAAGACGTACCTAGAACATCAGTAGGTATGAAATACATCTGTTATGTACGGTCGGTTTTGGATACAGGGTTTATCCCTCGAAAAATATGTGTATATCCCTTGGTCCCTGCGGTCCTTCGGGATATACACATATTTCCCTTGGGATAAAACCTGTATCCAAAACCTCCCAGTACATAACCCTTATATCTGTACCCATCCGCATGTTTGTATTGCTTCGTGCACTAACAAACTACGTAAAGGTAAACGTAAGTTGGCTATTTGCGCTAATCCTATTTAACCTCCTTATAAAGTCTCTATTAACCATGGGGGAAAGTCCACCCGCCTATATACAACCTACCACCGAGCAAGACACGCTTATACCGCCAATCCAATGTTTATTGTATAAAATGTATAGATATGTGTTTGGAATCACTGCAAATTGGTATGTCATCCCTTTTCATGCCCATAAATTGTATACATTTATCAGCAAACAAGTTTGTGTTTTTTCTTGAGTTTGTTTTCCCACGCGTTCCTAACTTCGACCGTTAATTTGAATTTTTGACCTACCGGATGTTTGAAAATCAAGGATTACGAGTTTCATACTGCACCGTTTTTCTTCAAACTTGTTCCATTCAAAGCATAACACAAATCCCTTTCTGATGGTGCATTATTCTCTTCAACAGAGTTCCTACTTCCAGCGGCATTTTGGTCCCCAGCTGTAAGAAGGCCTTCTAACAGCTATACCAAGAACAAAACAAGTGTTTGATGTGTTTTCTAAAACAATACAGATGAAAGCATATATATATTTCAAATTATATTGTTACCATTCAAAAAATGACCATTAAATTGACGATGTGTTAAATTTTTAGATTTTTGTCATGACTGGTTTGAGAGAAATGTGTGTTCAAAAAGTTCTCCATATCGATACCACTCCTCTATTATATCTCTTATAACACTAAACAATAATGGGATACTTACGACTTGAACTTTTATTTGATTAAAATCCATACGAATGTCTTTAAGCATTAGCAATGCGATTTTATTATCAGATTTTTCAAATCAAATGTTTTGATGAAAGATGAGCAAAGGGGAGATAAGAATCATTTCCTTTTGATGCCTGTTCATGTAATGAATGAATTGAAAAGATTTTATACAGATTAATTTGATTTGTAATGTCTTTTCATGCTCCTATATTAGGTAATTGCAGCAAGGCATTTGGGGCAGACACTGTAAAGGAAGATCTTGATATGTTGAAAGAACAAATGAAGAGACTAGCAGATGTATGCAAGACAGAATCAGATGTCGAAATATATAAAGGTAGACACCTGCTTTTGAATTAACTTTGAAGCCAAATATTACTAGAGATAGTATGTCAAACCATTTCCCAAGCGCTTGTACTTATCGTTATGGTGCCCTCTAGCTTCAATGTGGGCCAGTTTGTGCCACATAAGGAAGGTTAAGATAAACCTAAAAATGATCCGCATGTATGTATTGCTTCGTGCACTAACAAACTACGTATAGTCCATGGTATGACCTCCGAATATGAAGGATCCATAGCACACTATAGCGCAGCAACATTTGAAGCAATATTTATGAAGGTGTACATGTCTTGATTCTTTTAAAATACCATTTGCTGAAAAAACTTCCGGCTTTCGGGTCGAAAAACGTCTTTCATCACAAGGAGTAAAAAAAAAACGTAAATATTTTGATTCGAACTTTTATACATTTTATAAGACACATACAGTTATTCTAAGCATACAAACAAAAATAAATTATCATAATTTAAAAATATACTATTTAATTTTACTGTAGATGTCGGTGTTTAATTAGTGTAATTATGCAAGTGTGTTTTTCAGATTTTGTTTGATTTTTCAAATATGAGCCAAGCCGAATCAACAAAATTATGTGGAATATTTAGGTAATTCATGCTTGGGAAAATATTAGTTTTCTTACCATTTAAAACATTTTATTACCAGGATTTTTCCATATAATCGCAAGGGGTCTAATAGCAAATTATTGTTCATGTGTACAAAACATAATACAATAACAAATAGGTAAGATTTATATCTAATTAAATGTTACAGAGGTATTGGAATGTTCATATATTCCAAGGGCATGTCTAATAATTAATTAGAGTCATATGCAATCGAACGCCTTGAAATTCTTCCTCGACGTTACTTATGGCTATCATCAAGTTTTCTGATGGCTGTTTGTTCTTTGACCTTACCGCTGGATTCATTCTAATATAAAAGTGATTCATTTGTAGCATTTATTTTATTAATACTTGAGAAACAATACAAAACGTCGATACACTGGTCACATATTTTTTGATATTGATAAGAAAAATAACCTCAAACTTATAGCTTAGAAATCCAAATCATATATTTAAAATCATTTTGTATTATTTTCTGTTGCATTGTGCACTCCAAATTGCGAAAAATTGGGATTTATTTTTTTGGCGATTTTTTGACCTCTGTTAATGGCAGGCATAATTCAGCCTAAAAGCCGGAAGTATATTGAACAGTCATAATAACAAATTATTAGGGGACGTAGGTATGTTAATGTAAGGTCAAATATCGCTGCGCTATAGTGTGCTACCAACTCCTTTATTAGACGTCCTAGATATTTCATACCATGGACGAGTATAGGTATACGTAAGTTGGCTATTTGCGCTAATCCTAATTAACCCCCTATAAAATCTCTATTAACCACAGGGGAAAGTCTACCTACCTATATACAACCTACCAGAATTTTTGTTGAAAGATATTTTTATGTCCAAATTAAGAATTAAGTAAAACGTATGATGGTTTTCGATTTGTTGTTCTCATTCGTACTCGCTTTAATTAATAACGAGCCATACATAAGACATACTTGGGCCGGTAAATGTATGTCATATGCATAATATATTAGTGTCAAAGTATTAGGTCAAAATAGCACTTTTCAACAGCTAAAACTTCACATAAACGCTGTCTTAAAAGATCCGATGTTATCGGACATCAGACCCGATGGGATCGATGAGTAATATCATAAAGATCCGAAAATATCTTGAGTAAAGGATCTCAGAATCCGAACAAAACTTGAGTAAAATCTGTTGAGATCCGATGATATCGTCGAGTTTATGACGTGCTGATGATGAAATGGTGTTATGGCTACTTTCGGGAGTTTTTGAACCTTGATTTAATTGCCTTTATTAGAAGGGTTCCTCGTCATTAACACTTTTGTAACATTTTGAACCAGACTGACAGAGTGAATTAGGCTATCAACACTGGAGGATAGAAATACATTAATAATATAATATATTATCTTAGTCAAAATTGAGAGCGAATGAGTATAACGGGTCTTTTGATTTTGCACATTTTAGATCAATCAAATATTATATAACTATTTTTCATATGTTTACCGTCTTGGTAGATACAAAACAACACGTGTAATATTATTATTCTAATTAAACGGATTTTTATATTTCGTGGCCTCATTCCGTTAAGAGTGGTATCGAACCATTGATTTAAATGTTTTATATAATCACTTTGTATAACACCTGTTCAGTTTGAGTAAATAATTCAGATTTCGAATAAAACATAGCAACGAGGTCGAAGGACCAAAGTTCGTACCAAAATCATTGGATTATGAGCATTGTCAGATAGAACTGTTTTAAAGAACTTTGTGGCACACAGACGTTGACAAGTGCAGCGGGAATTATATCATATTATTTTTTATCCCATACTTGGACGTGTTACAAGTACATAAAGCCGGTTTGTAAAAGCTTATATTTTCATCAGCGGGCAGATATAGCTTTACGTCCCGCTCCGAGCGGGCAGATATAGTATATAGGGTGTCTCAAAAAAATGTACCCAAAAGTATATCAACACCACAGACAAACCAATCAATATTTTCAGACATATTTTGCATGGTCGTGTAGATAAAAGATGAAAGTTTTTTCCCCCATGCACAGTTTTTAATTCAGTTTTGCCTTTTTGATACTTTAACCCGTTACCTTTTACACCACATATTCAATGTAACCTCATAATTCGATGACAGTCTGCATCCTTACTACTAAATTGTTCATCACATTTGATATTTCTGGTGGAATGTTTTGATTTCTGTCTGGATGCTGGTCTTAAGTTGTTATGGGTCTCTTAGCCTGGGTTTAGCATAAAAATGGTCCTTCAAATAGCCTCAGAGAAAAAAGTATGGGCCGTCAAATATAGTCAATAGGGAGGCCCTCACAATGTCTTATAGCCCCCTTATACAGAGAGGTTGGAGGTTCAAGAAAATGCATTGGCTGGGATTCTAGTGTAGCTTTTGTTGTGTGGATCAATTTGAGACCACTGTGTTTTCATTTGGATATCATTTAGTCTCCAGGCTAGCCTGCCTTACTCTGGAAGGTAACTCCTGAATCATTTGCCGATAATTGACCTGATTATCCGTGTTTGTTCTGCCATTGTCATCCTCAAACATCTTTCTCTGTGGCTATCTGAAGGAGTCTTTTAATGCTCATTCCAAGCAAAAAGACCTAGAACAGCTTAAGGGCAACATTCAAAGAGAAATCCAAAACATTCCACCGGAATTATTATCAAATGTGATGAACAATGTAGCAGTAAGGATACAGGCTGTCATCGGAATATGAGGTTACATCGATAATGTGGTATAAAAGGTAAATGGTTAAAGCATCAAAAAGACAAGACTGAAATAAAAATGGTGTATTGAGGAGAAAACTTTCATGTTTTGGCTACATGACCATGCAAAAAATGTCTGAAAATATTGATTGGTTTATCTGTGCTGTTGATATACTTTTGGGTACATTTTTTTGAGACACCCGATATATGCCCGCTACGTCATAATCGCTGTTCCCGTACGTATTGGTTCTTTCTTGTAACGTTCGCAGTGTAAACGACAATGGAGAAAAACGCAGACAATCGCGATCTGTTTGATGCTTTAAAGAAGGGAAGGGGCGGTATGGCCCATTAATGATCAAAGATTTGAACAGGAAAAAGAATTCAAAACTGGACATGAATATTTTAAAATAATTCCACGGTTGGTTGCAAAGTTTCTGAACTGTGGCCATTTGAACAATGTGATTGGTATGGATAAACAGATCATCCTATAGTCGGTTCAGGATATTGGGATTATCCCAAGGCCAATATAATATATCTACTCTCGGGACCTACGGCCCTCGGGCAGATATATTATATTGGCCTCGGGATAATCCCAATATCCTGAACCTCATATAGGATAATCTCTATATATCCCGACGCCAGGAATATATGATAAAATAACAGGAATATTTGTTATGTAGCCTACGTCATGTTATTATATGATCACCAGAAAGCTTACTCACTACATCATCGGGATCTACTCACGGTATAATCGGAATAATGATGTACAATTGTGTGAAATATAAGGGAGTAATTTCATAAAATGACAAAGATATGAGAAAAATGCAGGGTTTTCATTTTTTGACCACCCTATATTTGTCACAAGATTGAATTTCAATAATATCCCTTCATCACGCTCAGAGTAATTCTAGGTTTGCTAGATACAATTTTTGGGGACAGTCTGTACATAATGGTTTTACTTATCATGCATTTGTCCATTATTTGTGCATTTTGTCATTATCAATTCTTTTCCAGAACCATGTACCAATGCCACTTTGTCTATATCAGAGGACTGCGTTGGAGGACCTGATGGTGTTAATATAATTCTTACCAAAAGAGGAAAACAAATTCTTGCAAGATGTGAAGCCGGGTGGCTTATCATTGCACATCGTTATGATGGAAGTGTAGATTTCAATCTAGACTGGGACAACTACCAACATGGCTTTGGCAATATCCGGAAAGAACACTTCATAGGATTTGAAAATATTTTGCCTGTGTTGCTACAGAAGAGATACAAAGCTAGGTTTGACCTCACAACATGGGAGAGTGAGACAGGATACGCTGAATACCAAACCTTTGACATTAATGACAAGAATGACAAATACAGAATAAGTATTGATGATTATAGTGGAACAGCGGGTGATTCGATGCAATGGTCAAACCATATGCGATTCACTACCAAGGATAACGACAATGATAGGCGTACTGGTAATTGTGCCGAAGGGCACGAAGGACCTTTTTGGTATGACTCGTGTAATTGGGGGAATAAAGGCTCTATTTTTGGAAGGTACGCGAAGAATCCAAAATGTTCAAATGCGTGGAACTGTTTAACTTGGTATGATTGGCCTAAAAAGCTTCCTGGTGTCGATAATAATTCTTTGTACTCTTTTAAAGAAGTAAAGATCAAGATTCGACCTATTTATTAAATGTAGCCTCAAAATAACATTTGACATTAAAATCATATATTTTACACATATTGATTGAACATGTTGAAGAATTGTAGACAAAACTTGGATAATCTAATTGGCAAAAACATAAAGTTTACAATCAGACATTCTTTGTCCGATATCAGAATTTACGTAATAATTAATGAAATAAAATGAATCACATGGTTAAACCATTTAGAGATACAAGGCCAGGTTTGACATCAACACATATGGGGAAAAGGGACAAAATACCCAGAATACCAAACATTTGACAGTACAGGAGGTTAAACACTGATGGTTTTAGTAGTGGTACAGCAGGTGATTCAATGAAATATTCCAAACGTATTCGGTTCTCCGCGCCGCCAAGGATTCTGATAATGATAACCAGTCGTGGTAATTGTGCTTTGTCATACACCGGACCATACTGGTATATACAAATGCGAGGGGGCACAAGGCTCTATCTTTTAGATATTCCAGGTTTCCAAAATGTTCAAAGGCATGGAGCTGTGTAACTTGGTATGAATGGACTAAGAAAGGAGGAGGGAAAGTATGTATATGTATTGCACATTTTTTCTATTTTCTATATTTCTAGACCAATCAGTCTGTTTTGTTTCATATTAATAAGTCTATATTCTAAATGCACCAGCCCGGGCGCACTAGCTCCTATAAATGCATACGATAGAATGATGCCCAACCAAACAAATTAGAAGAATTTAAACCTTATTTCCCCATTTTTGCACTTTGAATCCTTGATAACTTCACAAAATGTTGACATCGTATTTTCGCGGATCTTTTTGGAAATATTATATTCGAGATTGAAAGGCATGCGTTGGTAGTATAGGTCGTCGACTGTAATTCAATTAATTTAAGAGGTAGCATGATATTATTCTATTCTTACCTCATCAGCGCGAGCACTCTGCCATTGGATGGGGATAAAACCTTCATTGTAATCCCTAAGCCATAGATAAGTGTCTTGTTACTGTTTTGCCAGGCTTTATTTCAAATGTATGACAGAAATAATTAAGAAAAACGATTGCCTTTGCTCCTACATTGACAAGGCATTAACATGACAAAATGTCACCACCTAGTTGCTCACAATATTATGAGTTCAAACTTAAGTCAGATTTGAATTTCTGAGAACTTGTAAAGTCAAATTTGAACTTCTGAAAAGATGTAGATGACTTTGAAAAAAAAATTTGGTCAATTTGAAGCAAGTTAAAAACAGACCTTTTTGACCTTTTTTGACCTTGAGAAGGTCATTAAAGGTCAAATGTCAAATCTAAAGTCAGATTTGAATTTCTGAAAACATGTAGATGATTTTGAAAAAAAAAATTAGTCAATTTGAAGCAAGTTGAAAAAAGACCTTTTTGACCTTTTTTGACCTTGAGAAGGTCATTGAAGGTCAAATGTCAAATCTAAAGTCAGATTTGAATTTCTGAGAACATGTAGATGATTTTGAAAATTTTTTTTAGTCAATTTGAAGCAAGTTGAAAACAGACCTTTTTGACCTTTTTTGACCTTGAGAAGGTCATTGAAGGTCAAATGTCAAATCTTAAGTCAAATCTTAAGTCAGATTTGAATTTCTGAGAACACGTAGATGATTTTGAAAAAAAAATTTAGTCAATTTGAAGCAAGTTGAAAACAGACCTTTTTGACCTTTTTTGACCTTGAGAAGGTCATTGAAGGTCAAATGTCAAATCTTAAGTCAGATTTGAATTTCTGAGAACATGTAGATGATTTTGAAAAAAAAATTTAGTCAATTTGAAGCAAGTTGAAAAAAGACCTTTTCGACCTTTTTTGACTTTGAGAAGGTCATTGAAGGTCAAATGTCAAATCTTAAGTCAAATCTAAAGTCAGATTTGAATTTGTGAGAACACGTAGATGATTTTGAAAGTTATTTTTAGTCAATTTGAAGCAAGTTGAAAACAGACCTTTTTTGACCTTGAGAAGGTCATTGAAGGTCAAATGTCAAATCTTAAGTCAAATCTTAAGTCAGATTTGAATTTCTGAGAACACGTAGATGATTTTGAAAAAAAAATTTAGTCAATTTGAAGCAAGTTGAAAACAGACCTTTTTGACCTTTTTTGACCTTGAGAAGGTCATTGAAGGTCAAATCTAAAGTCAGATTTGAATTTCTGAGAACATGTAGATGATTTTGAAAAAAAAATTTAGTCAATTTGAAGCAAGTTGAAAAAAGACCTTTTCGACCTTTTTTGACTTTGAGAAGGTCATTGAAGGTCAAATGTCAAATCTTAAGTCAAATCTAAAGTCAGATTTGAATTTCTGAGAACACGTAGATGATTTTGAAAATTTTTTTTAGTCAATTTGAAGCAAGTTGAAAACATACCTTTTTGACATTTTTTGACCTTGAGAAGGTCATTGAAGGTCAAATGTCAAATCTAAAGTCAGATTTGAATTTCTGAGAACACGTAGATGATTTTGAAAAAAAAATTTAGTCAATTTGAAGCAAGTTGAAAACAGACCTTTTTGACCTTTTTTGACCTGGAGAAGGTCATTGAAGGTCAAATGTCAAATCTAAAGTCAGATTTGAAGGTCAAATGTCAAATCTAAAGTCAGATTTGAATTTCTGAGAACATGTAGATGATTTTGAAAAAAAAATTAGTCAATGTGAAGCAAGTTGAAAAAAGACCTTTTTGACCTTGAGAAGGTCATTGAAGGTCAAATGTCAAATCTAAAGTCAGATTTGAGCTTCTGAGAACATGTAGATAATTTAGAAAAAAATTGAAGTCAGTGTAAATAGTAATTGTTAAGTTATAGGAAGTTGTAAGAAATTGTTAGAAGACGCCGGACGCCAACCTCCAACCGCTGGACGCCAACCTCCAACCGCCGGACGCCAACCGCCGTCGCAAAAAAATGGAGACCATAACAATATGTCACCACTTTTGGTGGTGACATAAGGTGGTGACATAACAACCAAATGCCAAAAGTTTTTACCGTAGAACAAATATTTTAAGTCAAAAATCTAAATAGTGAGACAAAAAAGTAGTGTTACGAAAATATTATTACCACCTTGCCGGGCCAGTTCTAGGGGTTTTGGTGCTAGTTTAGAAGGCATTCATTTTACTATATCGACCTGAGCAATACGTGACGTCATAGTGGTGGTCCGTATTGCCGGTCAATAATGCAATAAATGACCGGCAAGTTTCCCCGGGAAATTAGATATCGTTCAGTGCGTAAGATTTTCTTGCTATTTCAGTTCGGCCCAATATTTCACTTCGGCCCAAGGTCCATTCTGATACTCATAGCATCTTTCTGTCATCTCAGGGCTGAGAAGATTTGAGATGTCATGGTTTATCATGATGGCCAAGGTCCAATATTTCACTACATTGCCCTTCCAAAGACGTTATTGTACTATTATATTTAGCAAATACACTTAAAATCTATCCTGGGCAACACTATAGATGGGTCTATGGGACATTTATAATGCCAACATTAATGTATTTTTATTGTATTGTGGTATTGGAGTTTGATAATAGTTCCTGTATTGTGGGAAAGGAGTATTTTCCATTGTTCTTTACATGTTAAATCATAGATACAATGCTTTAAACTTACAATTCCTTTCAACATACAATAATTTTTATATGCTATCATATAGTATGCCAACATTAATGTATTTTATGGTATTGTGCACAGATATTGGCCAGATCGTTTTGTAGGATCATAGGCTCAAAGAATAATACTATTGAGCTACTGATCTTACTACAAAAGAATCTGGCCGGGATCAATGGTATTGTGGTCTTGGAGTTTGATAATAGTTCCTGTATTGTGGGAAGGGAGTATTTTCCATTATTACCACCTTGTCGGGCCAGTTCTAGGGGTTTTAGTGCTAGTTTAGAAGGCATTCATTTTACTATATCGACTTGAGAAATGTGTGACGTCATATTGGTGGTCCATATGGACCGGTCTAGAATATAATTTGGACCGGCAATTTTTCCCGGGAAATTAGATATCGTTCAATGCGTACGATTTTTTTGCTGTTTCAGTCCTGGTAGTTAACGGTGGTAATAATACTAATAATGTCATTTCTGCGAGCAATATAGTTCATTTTACTATATCGACTTGAGAAATGTGTGACGTCATAGTGGTGGTCCATATGGACCGGTCTAAAATATATTCTGGACCGGCAATTTTCCCCGGGAAATTAGATATCGTTCAATGCGTAAGATTTTTTTGCTGTATATTGCCCTTATATTGCCCTTAGAAATGACGTTATTGTACTATTGTTCTTTACATGTTAAATAATAGATACAATGCTTTAAACTTACAATTCCTTTCAACATACAATAATTTTATATGCTATCATATAGTAGTACATGTATTCCAAAAGTTGCAAACATCGAGACACCATAAATGCTGTATATCCCCACGTGAAAAAAACATTATTCACTTTGTACATAATAACTAATGTAAAACTGTGAGACCTTACAAATATGTATCATAATATATATTTTATTTCAGTTTACATTTTTGTGCAAATTACATATAAAGCCCTTTCATAGCTTTCACACTATGTAGTATTAAAACAAATATGACACATGTTCATATTTTTTCTCTAGTACTATTCAGCTATTCTTCAATACTTACATTATTGTACATTATTCACTCATTGCCTCTTTATAATTTTCATTATTACCACCTTGCCGGGTCAGTTCTAGGGGTTTTAGTGCTAGTTTAGAAGGCATTCATTTTACTATATCGACCTGAGAAATGTGTGACGTCATAGTGGTGGTCCATATGGACCGGTCTAGAATATATTCTGGACCGGCAAATTTTCCCCGGGAAATTAGATATGGTTCAGTGCATAAGATTTTCTTGCTATTTCAGCACTGGTCGTTAACGGTGGTAATAATACTAATAACGTCATTTCTGTGAGCAATATAGTGAAATATTGGACCTGGCCCTCGGTCCAATATTTCACTATATTGCCCTTAGAAATGACGTTATTGTACTATTAATATAAACACATTATGCAGTTTTAAAAATGCTTGCTTACATTACGTGTATAAATAAAAAATATTTACACTGTTTAATGTTATAATTACACTTTAACAAAATAGATTTTTGGATTTATCCAAAATAAATATTACTTAGTGAACTATATAATACTGCAGGAAAAAGATGGGCATAGGGCTACATGTATACTTCGTTGTGGCTCATAATTTTATGTTTTGTAATTCAAAAAACACGATATAAGTGGCTAAAACCATAACTCGACTCTTTTTGGATAACTAAAAACCTTCATTTTTTCTTTAAAATTTAGTTTACTACATCAATATCTTGGATGATTTATTCAATATAAACAAATTAAATCGTGTACATGGGTGTAATGAGGGGTGGGGGTGTGAATTTCAAAAATGTTTCCGGTTTACCCTTTTTGGTGCTCGCTTCGATCGCAGTAATCTAAAGCCAAAAAATCGCACCCCCTTGCTAGCTACAGCCCTGTTGTATGTGTGTTCATATACCTGTCATACTGAAGTGTAGCCAGGATTCAAAATTAGTCAATGAGGCAAAACTTAAGAAATAAGTTATTAACAAAAATTACGTTTATCATAAATACATATATCATTTTAATTGATATCAATGGGTAAAAAATCCAGAAGAAATTTATCATGATGTTTACGTGAATAGAAAGTCATATACTATACGACTTACTTGTACTACATCTGAGCTTCAATCAAAACATGTTCATTTATATTTCAGAAACCATTACATCTCTGGCATATAAATGACTGAGATTGCATAATTACAGCACTGCTGTGTAAATAATATGCATTTTGTGATCGCAATTGTAAGCCAATATTAAACATTTTTCTTCTATACTATAAGGCCTATTCATTTACTAAAACTCCTGATGATCAGTCTTGGACACATATGCAACAGATTTAAGTTCCCGATATGAGAGTTAAATCACTTCAATTCCTAGTCTTTTCTAGGTTTTTACTGCATTTTCTGATGCCTTGATTTCATTAACATTGACATCCCCTGGACTTACTACATCATTTAAATCATCCTTTGATATAGTGTCATTGATTTCAACTTCATCAGATGGATTATTTTGAAGTTTATCAGAATGATTTGAAATACTGTTCACATCATTAATGTTACTATTAGAGGCAGGATTATCTTCTATAGAGTCATTAGGGTGTCGTTTATAAAACGCTTCCTTTGCTAATTGCTTCAAATGTCCAGCCTCAGCTCCAGAACTTTTTACCATTTCTGAGAAAAGGGAATTTTCATTCTGCAGTAGCTCCTGGGGTTCGTCAAATTCTTTAATGCAGCCATCATGTAGCACCTGAAAAACAAATACCATAATGCATCAGCTTTAGCATTATGTACTTCAAGAGTTGAAAGCACATCAGTTATTTAAGTTTCTTCATTGTATCCCATAATGCATCAGCTGCAACAGACACAAAATTAGAAATTGGAACTATTTTAAATAATAAATGCATAGTTACCTTCAAATACCTAAAAAAAACTATTTATTGAACGATTTCACAAAACAAATACAAATTTATCCTAAAACATCCAGAAAAAACATCTTACCATAATTCGTTCAGAATCCATGACAGTGTTGAGTCGATGTGCGATTGTTAGCACAGTACAGTCGACAAACTTCTCTCTTATTGTCTGCTGAATTAGTTGATCAGTCCTGGAAATCACCCACAGTGCTGATTTCTTGTATTAGTTAAACACAACGCAAGGACCCGTACTACACAGTCAATATAATTCGGCGCCGTTTCGGCATCGAAAATATTCGGCGCTGTTCAGGCACAGTTTCGACACCATTCCTACACCGAAACCTATCGACACCAAAATGTGCAACCGGACTAGTCAGTCCATTTGGTGCCGAAACAGCACCGAAATTTGGCACCGAAACGGCGTCGAAAATCAGATTGCATTTTGGGGGTGTAGGTAGGCCATTGGTCTCAGAACAATTTAAAAGCCTCCAGAGTGACAAGATTTCTCATCACCGAAGAAATGACCTTGAAACCTAGTGATGAGATAATCTGTCACAAATTGTTTCACTAAAATTGCTCTAATTTGGACAATTTTCATCCATAGTGGTGGATAGTCACTAATTTCAACTTTCACAAAACTGAGAGGTCGGGAATGAATGAGTGATAAATATATTAAAAAAAAGAAAAAACAGTGACAAATAACCAATCAAAACTCACCTTGGGTCTACATTTGCAGTTGCCTCATCAATAATAAGAATCTTATTTCTTCGTAAAACTGCTCTAGCGAGACACAACAGCTGGCGCTGCCCGACACTGAAGTTGGTCCCTCCCTCAGAGATCTCAGAATCTAAGCCACCTGGTAGTTCATCAACTGCACTCTTTAGTTCAACCTACACAAAGGGAACAGGTTAGTGCAATAGAGTAGTTTCGATATAGCTCGGAATTCACGTTAATTCTTGTTTTTTCAATAGATTTCATGAATAAAATATTCCAAATGTTTTAAAGAAATTTGTGTAACTTAAAAATAGATCCAAAGGTATAATGATTGAGAGAATTGGAATCAACATTTGAACAAGGCATTAACATGCAAATGTCAACAACTGCCATTTGTTACAGATGCTGACCACCAACTGCCAAACACTGAATACAATACATGAAAAAGTTGGAGACCTTAACAATATGTCAGCACTTATGGTGATAACATTAACAAAAATTTCAAAACCAATGTGCCTTTATTGTTCCATATAAATACCTCAAAACATCTATGATAACTTATCAAATGGTAAATGGCCATAACTGCAAGTGTTTGGATATAATAAATGTTCATTTCAAATTATTTCCTACATACCTCTTCAAGTGCCTGCCATAGATCAGGATCAGAGTGGACATTAAATGGATCCAGGTTATGTTTTATAGTTCCGCTAAACAACACAGGGTCCTGAAATACACATATGTAGAATATTGGTAAGGGGAATTTACTAGTAGCAGTGATCTCCCCAGCATTAAAGCAAGTAGGTGCAGCACCCACCTGAGATTTTGAAAATAGGCTTGCACCCACATGAAAATTATTTGCACCCACTTGAAAATGAGAAAAATTATCAAAAATTGGCATATTTTGACCAATTTTGGTCTGAATTGTGAAAATGAGAATTTTGCACCCAAATCCTGTGGAGATCACTGAGTAGTTTGGACTTGTTCAATTTGTCAAAGAAAAACATTAATTAGATCAATTTTGATGCACGATATATGGAGAAGTTTATTCAGCATATAAAGTAAAAAATAATCTATTGTTATAAATAAACAGATCACAAACGCATATCAAATATATGTATAATTAGTATCCATACTTAATAACATTATTCAATCTTATTAATGTATTTTGACAGAAAACACTTAACAGAAAACTGAAAAAACTAGTCAAATTTATAACCTGGTATAATTTGCCATACCTGTGGTATGATGGTCATTGCCCCTCTGAGGTCATAGCATATAAACCATATCATAAATATTATTTAATATTATAAATGTATTGTGTCAGAACACTCTAGTCCAAATTGATGCATGTAACATTTTGCCATACCTGTGGTATGATGGCCATTGCTCCTCTGAGGTCATGAAGACCTATTTCAGTGATACTAACTCCATCTATAAGTAGTTTCCCAGAGGGCTCAGCAAGACGAAACAACATTGAGATCAGTGAACTTTTCCCAGCACCAGTGCTTCCCACAATACCCACCTAAAGCATAATCAAAGAAGGTTAGCTCCCATAATTCCACAGAGCACAAGTTTACCTTAGCTATGTATGCCATCACCATGGTTACACATGGCTAGGCTACATCATGGGCTTTCAATTAGAGATAGGAATATGTATATCAAAATTGTCCAGGAGTATTATTTGTATAAAATCATTCTATTATTATAAAGCACTGCTTATAATCCATTCATATCAAGAATATTTGTATGATACTATTCCTTTGTTTACAAATCTATGTACTGTACTTGTTTACATGCATTTGCCTTGAACTACATTCAAGTATTACTGACCTTTTCTTGAGCTCTAACACAGAAGTAGAGATTTTTAAGAACAACAGGTGCTTCTTCTGAGTATTTAAATGATGCCTTTTCACCAGTGATGATACCATGTTTTGGCCAATCAGATGGAGGCTTACTATTTGGCCCTGAATCTAATTCAGCTTCGGACTGAAGATGAGTATACTCTATAATTCTTTCAACAGATGTCATCTGAAATTGAAAATTCTTAATGCATTGAGAAAATGTTCAGGCAGTCCAAAAAGTATCTTATTCTTCAAAGGTAAGAGACTTGATATTGTAAATGTAGAGACTACATATGGACAACCTGTGTATCACTTAAATAACAACTTGGGTGCTTTGTCCCTGTATGATCTGTTCTTGACTTATTAATGGCAACGGTGTTTATATATAATGATTTAATGGAGTTGTTCATGTCAAAAGGATGCAGCATCTCACCTGCGTCTCAGTCTCTGCACTCTGCCTTACGGCCCATTGGAACATGCCCATCATGGCCATGGAATACGTCATAGTGAGCCCTACTAGGCCTCCATTCAGACCTAAAATAGTAAAGAACCATTTTTATATGTAACTAAATTGAACTTTTAATTAACATAATTATATGATATTCATGAGTACTTTTTATGTCATCCGAGATTAACGTCAAATGAAATGTTTGTGTTGCTCTTCAAATTTACCTTTAGCACATGCCTATTTATTAAAAGCCAATATAAGTGTAATAAAAAGCATTTTGTATAATATATCTTGCCAATAAATCTCGATCTCTTTTGGTAAACCATTAGGTTTGCATTAGGCCTAAGTTTGCAACGATGAAAAAAATATCACATTTAAATGTTTCAGTATGATCGCCCGTATCTATTGAATTGATCAACTTACTTCCTGCGGCCAAAACACTGCAAAAGGACACTGAAGTTATAAACAGTGCACAAATGAAATCCAATCTGATTGCGAACCAGCGGGTCGTTGCAAGATAAAGGAACCAAGCCTCAGTATGGAGATTGTGGTGTTTATCAAACTCATGTGTAAATGTTTCTTCTGCCTTAAATGCTCGGATTGAATGTAAGCCTTGTATTGATGCGCTAAGATGGGAAAATACTGGACTGCGGGCTGAAATGAAAAATATATGAACTGAAATGAAAAATGTATGTACTGAAAAATATATGATTTGAAATGAAAATTATATGAACTGAAATAAAAAATGTGAGAGCTGAAATGAAAAATATATGAACTGAAATGAAAAATTTATGTACTGAAAAATATATGATTTGAAATGAAAATTATATGAACTGAAATAAAAAATGTGAGAGCTGAAATGAAAATTATATGAACTGAAATGAAAAATGTATGTACTGAAAATATATGATTTGAAATGAAAATTATATGAACTGAAATAAAAAATGTGAGAGCTGAAATGAAAAATGTATGAACTGAAATGAAAGATGTATTCACTGAAATGAAAAATATATGAAAAGAAAAATATAGGAGCGGAAACAGAGAATCATACGAACTTTCAACTGTCATATGAAGGAAAAATTAATGAACAAATAAAAATCCAAAACTAAATAACAAAATTGGAAAAAATTATTCAGAGATGATGATTTTACTTACTTGTGCCTTCAAGACGTTTCACATCCCTCGATGTTGACAGATAGTAATGACGTATTACAAAAAATAAAACACACAGAGGTAGAGTCGGGATAAACACCCACGGATTGATGATGCCCGTCACAACAATGATGCCAATGATCAGGAAAAAGCACTGAAAAACAGAGAATATTTATTAACAGCAAAGCCTATGTACATGAATAATGGTCTTCCAAGAAATTGAATGTGTTTTTGAACAGTTTACTAGTAATTCTTATCATGTTGAATCATGATTTGGAATAGTTGGGGTTTGCTTTCTTTTTGACGGGTATACTCTAATATGTTTTCTTTTTCTAGCTGTGTTCTGTAACCATTTTTGGTTCCCGTTGGCAAATTATTAAGATATGTTTTTGAAAGTGAAAGTAACACCATTTTTGGTTCCCGTTGGCAAATTATTAAGATATGTTTTTGAAAGTGAAAGTAACACCATTTTTGGTTCCCGTGGGCAAATTATTAAGATATTTTTTTGAAAGTGAAAGTAACACAGAGTAGGAGTAGGAAAATGCTAAATATCCACAGATTGTAAATTAACCTCAGATACTAAATGTCACATTGACATGCAATCTTAAATGAACTTTCAGTCATCCTCACCTGTACAAAATCAAAGAAGGCACGGGGCAACATTTCATCCATTTGGCCAACATCCTTCGAGAATCTGTTAAGTATGCGACCTAAAACAGACAAATGGCAGAGGAAATTGAAATGAAGGTTCGCAAAAGTAGCATATTTTTCTGAGTTTTTCTTAATGACAGCCTCCTACAGCAACATACCATGAGAACTCTATGAGAACTAAGCTGAACTAGACCAGGTTCACAATTAACACATTAATCATAGACATAAGTGCATCACACTAAAACACAAGCAATGGATCACATATTAATTTACTACTTACCCACTGGATTTGTATCAAAGAAATATACTGGAGCCCTGACAATGGATTTAAACATCATCTTATGAAGAGTCTCCGCTGCATTCACTAACATGTGGAAAAAATATAGAGCTCTGGCCATTGAGAAAACAAGGACTCCAATTGTGATCCCAGACCAGATATACAAATAGTAGTTCCTGTCAACAGGAGTGATTTCATTTTCTGTTCCCCCACTTATATTCAGCCAGGGTTGTGTATAAATGTCGGAATCTGTGGAGTTGTGAGTAGTGTTTGTGGTATATATTGAGGTGAGATTCTCATCTTGAATGGAACGTTTCATGTTGTACTCTACTTCTTTATTGGACCTAAATGGTAAATTAAACACCAATAAAAAGTATGTTACAACAGGTTACATAATATTTTATTCAATGAATATCTTGATTGATTCAACTTGAATTTTTACATGTATAATTTAAATCAAATGTGACTAAATCTGAAGTTACAGAAAAATCATTACAGAAGCTGCAACCATTTAATTAGAAAATCAAATGTCACATCCCCTAGCCTTTCAAATTATGACAACATACAACCTTTACTCTATGACATCACACTAACATACAACCTTTACTTTATGACATCACACTGTCATACTTACCAGTATGACAGCCAGAAGTCACACATCACATATCCAACTTGAGTGAGGATGCATAAAAAGAGGAGAAAAATGATAGCTGGCACTCCTCCCCCTGCCTTGAAATATTGCTTGTAAATCCCAACAGTAACCCCTCCCTCAGATCTCTTTTCCTCTTCGTTGCGACACACATGATCAGTCTAAAAACAAAAAATAAAATTATTGTAACACCCCTATATCATTTTCTACCGTTCTAATGAGCTCATCTTTATTGCCTATTTGGGTGTAATTCAGGGGAGGGGGGAGATCTCCCAAAGTTCAGTGTTGGTATTGAGTCGCGTAGTATATATGCGATAGATCCATATAAGGCTTATAGGACCATATAAGAATCCAACTTACTGTTGTCCCCATTTTGAATATCATGTGATAGATCCATATATATGGCTTATAGGACCATGTAGGGAAAGCTAAAGGGAATCCCCTAATACCAAAAAATTATGGGAGCTTAACTCACTTCTTCTGGGTTTAATTAATGTTTAAATTGAGCTGGAAGACACCTCAGATTAAGGGCACATATAACAGTCTATAAAAGTTAATGATTCATATGGGAGTGGTATGAATCTTACCTCAAAATTTAATGTTTCTGTTGACATCAGTAATGGATTAGATTGAGCATTCTCAAGAATGTGATTACTTTGTGGTCCTAAACTTGAATCAGATTTGATTCGCTCTCGAAGACCACTTAAGCTCAAACTGTCCAATTGCTGAGCGTCTTTCTTCAATAAACTAATAGATTCTTCTGTTTTTTCACCAAATTTTGAGTGACTCAAATTAAACATTGATTGTGTTTTTGCAGTTAGGTTCTCTTTAAAAATATCATCTAAAAGTTCAGGGTTTGTTTGCTTCTTTTCAGCCATCTTTTCATCTTCAGTTCTTTTTAGTAAGGATGCAAAATCTATCCCAGCTGCAGCCAGGTCTGAGAATGTACCCCTATTTGCTATTTTACCCTGGAAACAAAAGATTTGATGTCATTAATTTCTGGAGCTAAAGTTTCTATCTTTCAGTATAAGTATTTACTTATATTTTTCAGTATGAGTATTTACTTACAATTTTCAGGTTGAGTATTTATTTACATTGTTCAGGCTGAGTATTTACTTACATTTTTCAGTATGAGCATTTACTTACACTTTTCAGTATGAGTATTTACTTAAATCTTTCAGTATGAGTATTTACTAACATCTTTCAGTATGAATCCATTCTTCAGGCTGAATATTTACTAACATATCTCAGTATGAGTATTTACTTACACTTTTCAGTATGAGTATTTACTTACACTTTTCAGTATGATTATCTACTTAAATCTTTCAGTATGAGTATTTACTTACATCTTTCAGTATGAGTATTTCATCTGCATGTTTGAGATACTGGAGCTGATGAGTGACAAGTATTCTTGCTTTGTCTTTCAGTAAACCCTGTATACATCTAAAACAGGACATTGATTTTCTTTAAGGTTACTCTACTATTCTTTTTAAATTGAAAATGTCTTATTTTACATGAACACTATAATTTTTTCACAACAGTTGTAATTAAATTTTTATCAAGATTGTCAAATGTTTATTAATTATGTCCTCTCTTCATCTTTCTCTTCATTAATCCTGGATAAACTTTGATTGTCTTACCTAAATCTTAAATTTTAATGATACAATGGGGACTATATACGTATGTTTGCAAATAAAAATTCTTACTTTTCAAATAAATGTTTTCCTACTGCGGCATCCACAGCAGAGAGTGGATCATCAAGTAGATATACATCCGCTTCGTAATATAGTGCCCTAGCGAGACTGACCCTTGCCCTCTGACCCCCACTGAGACTGACCCCCCTCTCCCCTACAAGAGTCAGGTCACCCTCACTCAACATAGATATGTCCTGAAATAATATTAAGTTCATCATAATTTCAAAAGTTTAGATGACTTTAGGCTTTTAATCAATTAATAATATAATAAAAATTTTGTTATTTTACATTTACAAAGCATTGGATAAATGGATTGGAAAATATTTTAGAAATTTATCAGTGATCTCTCCGGTTAAACTATATCAGTGTCAACAAGGGGTCTCTATTTGTGATTTTGAAAAGGCATGCACAAATCTGAAAACTCAACTGCACTCATTTGAAAATTTAAATCATTAAATTGGCTTAATTTTACCATATTTGGCCAGAATTGCACAAAAACATGAGAATTTTGGAACCACTTAAAGGGGCAACAAGGACTGTAGAGAGAAAATTCAAAGTTTTTTATTTTTTCTGAGCTATCAGGTCATTATTTGGGTTAACATCTTCTTTGACATATCTATTTTCTTAAAATGTATGGATAAACTATCAATTTCAGCATTAACAGGTGTAAATTCAGTTCAAAGCTTCTATAAAGGGAGTCCCACTAATAGATTTTTAAGATCCACCACGTTTCAAGAGGAATATCAGCTGAAATAACCTTCTTCCAGGGGGTTTCTTTGTAGATAATAAAAATATATGTTAGTCTTGATGAAATATCCGTACGTAAATATATTTTGACACTGGTTGATGATCGTTGAATGGCCCCCCTTCACTAATTGTTGCACCTTTAAGAAAACAATGTCAGGAAAACATTTGGGTATATCTTTCGGCCTAACCTTTGATAAAGCTGTCATTTTGAGAATCTTGTTATATCGTGTAGCCTCAAACTTCCTCCCGAATATTATATTTTGTCGCAAACTAGCGCTAAAAACCCATGGTTGTTGAGCGGAGTACGCTATCTGACCTTTGACATCTATTGTTCCTTTCTGCACTGGAATTTCACCTAATATGGACATCAGAAGCGATGACTGGAAAACATTAAGATGGACGTCACTTAACATAATTGCGTCTAGTTTTGTCTATTTCATAATATTTTTTCGAGATATATTAATAAAGAGCAATGTACGAAAAACTTGTCAAATTCCTGGAAATTTGGGCGAATATTCAATTTGGCGATTTTTTGATTGATCATATCAAAATGCTTGCCAAACTAAAGACTAAAATAAAATTCCCATGGCAATTATGTCATTATTGCCCACTGTAACAATTGTTACACGTTAAAGCGAAAACTATGAAAGCTCAATGTACATGATGTCATAAACTTGAAGCATATTTCTATATGGAAGAATTTTGAATCTTACCTTTCCACAGCCGACTGGTCCTATCACTGCTAATAACTTTCCATGCTTTGATTCAAAGTCTATTTCACTTAAAGTTATTGTATCTTACCTTTCCACAGCCGACTGGTCCTATCACTGCTAATAACTTTCCATGCTTTGATTCAAAGTCTATTTCACTTAAAGTTATTGTATCTTACCTTTCCACAGCCGACTGGTCCTATCACTGCTAATAACTTTCCAGGCTTTGATTCAAAGTCTATTTCACATAAAGTTACTGTATCTTACCTTTCCACAGCCGACTGGTCCTATCACTGCTAATAACCTTCAAGGTTTTGATTCAAAGTCTATTTCACTTAAAGTTATTGTATCTTACCTTTCCACAGCCAACTGGTCCTATCACTGCTAATAACTTTCCAGGCTTTGATTCAAAGTCTATTTCACTTAAAGTTGGAGCTTCCAACTCCTATAAAACATGTAAAATTGTTTTCAAAATAATTTGAATTGAAGTACTATCGAGGGCTTTTGTACAAAAAACAAACAAAACATATATCTACATATTGAATTTTGAGATACTGTATAAGTGGTAATTTTGCCTAATCATGGAATTTGCCTATTGCCTAATTTTTGCCAATTTCGCAAGATTAAATGTCAGAAATATTAAAATGATGATAACTAGTATTGAAAGTTTAATTCTGATTTATAAAATTCAGACACATTGAAAAATAGGATGTTAAGTTAGTGAAAACAATAACATGTCATGCATTCCATAAAACCAAATCTACCTTATCCCACTGTGCAGTGACATCTTTTGCCACGATCCCACAATCTGCTGGAAGAGGTCGTTGTTTTTCATGCTGAATTGCTGAGTTTTCAGATATTTCTTCTTGACTCAAAAATGTCTAAAGTTAAAAAAGATTGTAACTATATTGTTCATAAAATGAAAAACAAATAATCAAGTGGTTATGTACGCTTGGTGCAAAGTCTAAAGTATGCCAATACAGGTTGACCCTAATGGGAGTCCCTATATCTAGGAACAAAGTGATATTTCAAGGCTTGCCATACTGTAGCTTCATAACAGGGCATTACATTATGTTCACATAATCATTACATTAACATTAGAATGTTGATAATATTTAGCTCAAAAAGTGTCAAATATTACTTAATGAAAATAACATATACATACTACGTTGTATTAATAGGTTAAAGGCAATTAGGTTAAATTGGCTAAATTATACATATCTAATACCCATATTAGAAGCAAATCTGTGCAAAGAAATAAATTAATAGCACTGAAAGTTCCCAAACCTAGATTCTACAGTCTGACACCTAACAATAGGGATGTCATCAGGAAATGACATATTTTCAATTAACTTGAGAGTCAACTCCCTCCCCTGGATTTACCATTTATCTCAAAATTTATTATTAGGTTTGGTAACTTGGTTTCACCCTGTATATTTGCATGCATGACAACATGCTTAACCTCTTGACTTGCTGGAGTGACGAGATTTCTTGTCATCTCAAAAATGAACTTGAAACCCAGAGAGACGAGAAAATCTGTCACAAAATGTTTCACTAAAATTGCTCTTATCTGAACAATTTTCATCCAATTTATACAAAAATTATTTTAAAATGTGAAGAAATGAGCTCTGCCATCGAATTCTACTAAGTTGAGCATCTAAAGTTGTATACGTATGTAGTAAAATGTCAAAACTGGCAAAAATGAAACACTCTCTGGTTTCAACTGATTTTAGAGCCTGGAATTCAAGAGATTAATAAATGGGAAAATATTCATGCTCTATTCTTAGTATACTGGCTTGTACTTTATTGTACTAAACATATAATGATATAAAAATTTTCTAAGGTTATTTATGTTATGTTTTAACAAATGTTAGGTTTATTTCCTGTGTACGAATATTGCTTCTCTTTACTACCAATTTTCCATTTTATTTCCTTTTACGTGTACAAGATAGTATACTAAAACACGATGCCCTTATTGAATTCAGAGTAAACATTCTACCAAGACACATGGGCAGTAATTTAGTACCTCAAGTCGCCTACAGGTGGCTCTCATTTCCCCAAGACCTTGAATCGTGAAGGAAAGTTGTCCAATCAGAGTCCTTCTAACATAATTATAGATTGCCAAAACGGGGAAGATGACAGCAGGAAGAAGTGCATTGTGGGTAACAAGAACGTAAAACACAACAGTGATGTAAATCGTAAGTTTGGTTCCGGTGAGGATGAAAGTTTTGATGAAGCCATCGAGGAACAGAGAATATCGTACACGTCTCATCTCATATCTGGAGATATTATGAAGTGACATCCCTCAGATACAAAGTAAACTAGCCCATTCAGTCAATTTGGACTGGTTCATTAATAAGCAAACAACATGTGAGGGGTGTTACATTAATGCTACAAATTAGAACAAGCAACTTATTATCATGCTAAACATGCAATACACAAAAAAAATATTAATTTTATTACAACAATTTTTAACTAGCACAATATTTCATGTTTATTCCTACAATGGGTTGTTTCCAAGATGGATTGTGCCTATGAGCAATCTCCAGGCATTTTACTCAGTTTTTTACAATCTTCCTTCTCTCTGCAGACTCTTGATTCTCTTGGGCTCTTAAAATGCTCCACTCATGACTTGCTGACAGTAACTGTTATCAAGAAAATCAAGACAGAAGTAAATTTGTCAGAAACTGCGAGAAATGATGTATCATTACTGAATATTTCTCTTATTTTGACAGGATTAGTGGAAGGCTGAATCAAGATTTTGCAGAAAGGAAGAATGCACATACTAAATGAAACTGCAGGGAGAATTCTATACTAAGAGAGTAACCTCCTATAAAAGACACAATTTCAATCTTTGAAACTGCCCATTGAATAATTGAATGCATGCTGGTTAATTCTTCTTGATCACACAATGGGGTAATAAATGGATGTTTCTACATTTTACCTCAAGCACTTGATTAGTAAGATTTTTGGTAATAAAGTAGAACCAGTCTAAGTGGAACACCTTTGGTACCTCTAAAATGTGTTCCACTTGGGAGGTGTTCCACTTAACAGAGGTTAACATTAAGTCAGTTGGTCTTGGGACTCTGAAGTGTTCCACTAACAGAGGTGTTCAACTTATAGAGGTGTTCCACTTACAATGGTGTTCCACTTATAGAGGTGTTCCACTTTACAGGTAAATTTTTTTTCATAACACAGCTGCTTTGATTTGAATATGGCAACTGAATCTCATCTTATGAAATCAATATGGTAGTTGCTATTCTCTTACATGCATTTGTCAAATTTGAAATATTCCAGCCATCATGGACTTTTGAAAGAAGAGCTTTCTGTCTAAAGCTCACAAGGCAATCTAGTTTTAAAACAACTGTATCATATAAAGGGGTCAAACAGTTTGAGATTTCATGGTCCAGTTCGATGATTGTATTTTACAGTTCAGCTCGGTTTTGGTTGCAGTTCTCACGGGATACCACAATGCATGTAAGCCCACAAATCAGGGGTGTCAAGAATTTATGGAAGAGAACAACTGCCAGGATGTGTGTAGCTCAGGGATCAAATATTCATGAAATGATTACTAATTACCCCAAAAATTACCCCATTGATCAAGCAACTAAGAAGTTTGTGAATGTTACAGAAACTACAGTCATCTAGGGATTTTCATACTGTGTTGAGATTACAGGCTTTGCATTACATTCTTCACAATACATATCCCTATCTGTAACATATCAAACAACAAGGCGTTACCATGCAAAATGTCACAACATGCCATTTGTTACAAATGCTGACCACCAAAAGCTGGATGCCAAACACCAACTGCCGAACACCATCCATAAAAAAGCTGGAAACTACTTCTGGTGGTGACATTAAAAGAATAAATTTCTCAATTTGATAAGGATACACAGATAAGTGCATGCTGCTGAAAACATGATGCAAAACCTCTCTTTAGCTATATTTTTCCCTATACTCCTGACTATGTTAGAATTACAACACATTTGATATAACTGAAAGGTACATTACACCTACAAACAGTCAAACAAGGAAATAAGAAAGATTCCAGGAAACATTTATTATCGCCACATGTTGTAACCTGTCAACAAGACACATTTCATTTTTGTATGAACTTTTTCCAAACAGAAAATCCAGCAATTGCAAAATAATTTATCTCGTAGGAAGAGTCTCATTGGGCTCAAATGTAATTTTTCAATGCAAACCAAAAACTAATGATAATAGTTAAAAAAATCTAACCTGAAATCTTTCAAATAACTCAAAAATGGAAGAAAGAGAATTGAATGGAGAATTAGATGCAGATAGGCCTCAACATTTCACCCAGTAACCATAGCAACAAACCTCCAGCCTCTTTATGGTGATGTTGGTCTCGGCGTACAGCAGTACAGCATATGGGACATATAACAAGGCCACTAGCCTAAGGGGGTTTAACAGGGCAATTGTGACCCAAATTTTTTCGGAGGTCAAGTGGTTGCCTAGCAACACATACGTCATAAATGTGAAGAAGCTTATGACTTGACCTGATGCCCAAAATGGACCTAAAATACAGCCCGTTACATGATAACCGAACCGTATACGTTTCATTTCTTTGCTAAAATCAAAAACATCAAAATTATTGTCATAATCAACATGTATGAATAAATATCAGCTCTTAGTTTGTAAGAGATCTGAGTAATAATTAATTCAATTAATTAATTCTTATTTCAACTTATTATATGCCTTTTCATTTCATTTTAATCATTATACAATAATACAAACATGAAATTGTCTTTTATGGTCACACTATCTCAACAGTATATAAGACAAAGCATTAATATGCAAAATGTCACCACCTTCCATTTGTTACAGACACCGACTGCCGACCAAACACAGTCAAACACAGTCAAAAAAGGAGACTATATCAATATGTCACCACTTGTGGTGGTGACATAAAACTACTTCAACTTGACTCACAATTAACTACACAAAATATTTATCCATTTTATAGGCTACCAGTGAACCATGTCAATCGATAAAGTCTATATAACTTTGAATTCAAAATTGATAGCAAGGTCAATCAATAAATACCTTCTTATTTTTGCAATAAGTGCACCAAATGGTTTTTCCCAGCAGTACATTTTGATGACCCTCATTCCTGTGATGATCTCATTCATGACCTTGACTCTTTCGTCCGTCTCGACAGCAGTTTTTCGTCTTAAATATAAAATGCGATAATCGAGTACAGTAAAACCTGTCTAATGCAAATACAAATTGTGTAGTGGGTTCACATTTCAAGGTTTCTTTAAATACGAGAGTCAATGGCAGAATAAAAATTTGGAATGAGAAAAGTGTTCACATTGAGGTGTTCAGATAAGATTGGTGCTTGGATAAACAGATTTTACTGAAGTTCAATACTTACTATTTAACATGAAATTTATCCAGTGATCCAAGTTCTATTCAGGATGAGTAATTTTTAAGCTAATTGATCAATACAAAAATTGGGCTTTAATAAATGAACAGAAAATCCTTAGTGGGGACGGTTCAAAAATATAAACTTGTTATTTGTCACAGCAATCCAGCTACAAAGCCCTGTTAATCTTCATATTACTATCTAATCTAAAGCTCTAAACAGCTTCACATTTCTATTTCATATCGCGACATTTAAAGACATTACAATGGTTCAATAAGTTTCAAAAATAAGGGAGATTAGTATGGACATTTGTAAAAAAGAACGAAGATATCATTGTTCCTAAAGCTTTTATCTTTCCCTCAATTTAATTTTTTTTTTACATCTTTCTTGCGGGTCAAATTAGTAACTTTCCAAAGTCACTCTCCATTTTTCATTCACCTGATTTATAACTAATAAGTCGGGTAAATTGTTAAATTAAGCATAAGCGTGTCCTTTCCGTTTCACAATGGCATATTTTATATTAAGTGTAAGAAATTGTAAAATCATTTTAACTGCTGGCTTAAGCTATTTTGGAGGTTTTCTGCTGGTGATTGACCATTTTGATGAAAAATTGAGCAAAATTGCATGTTTTCATATAAGCATAAAATGTAGTGTATCAACATCCTCTTTGCGATGTTTTATGCCATTGTGAAGCCAATGACAATAAATTTCAATTGCACCCAAGCATGATCCCCTAATGACTCCTACAATATTTGGTAAGATTGATACAAATAGTGTGACAATTACAGGCCCGTAGCCAGGGGGGGGGGTTGCAGGGTTCAGGCGAACCCCCCCCCCTGGCCAAAAATTCTTTCAAAATCATGCAGTTTTTCACCATTTTGAGTACTTCTCAAGTGATTTTAGCCATATTTGGGCCAAAATTGTCAAATGTGAACCCCCCTGGAAATTTTTGAAAACTGAACCCCCCTTGGCAAATCCTGGCTACGAGCCTGAATTATTAGACAGCACCAGAGATGGTCAGCAATGAATTAATGCATGTGTAAAACCCTGTAGAGAACATAGAACAGGCCTAAGAAGCAAAGACAGGACCTTTACATGGATAAATACCTGAGTTTTGCGAATAATTTCCCCATATATCCTTGTACAGGTATAAGCAAGAGCAGTACTAGATATCCCGCCAGCACAGATGGACCAATCAAATGCCAGATAATAATTAACCCCACAACCGCCATTGCGGGTGCAATCCATAAGAAATGGAAAAAGAGAACAGACTGTAAAAACAAAAAATGTTACTGGTTAGAACTAAAAAGCAAGATATAGGTGTGACAGTGACACAGTAGTTGGTGTGACAGTAGCACAGATTCTCCATACCTCGATTTAGAAAATAACTTCATCCTGGGTGAATATTGCCATGACAACCAGTAACATAGCGTCTATGCCGTCACATCAATTTCAAACATTGTTAGCATGGCAGTTGTCTGGGCAATGCTCACATGGTTATATTTTGTTAATAGAGTGCTAAAGACTAGAAAATGAGAAAAATTCACTTTCCTAGGGTTGGTATCCAATTACAGTCAGTTGTGGAACAGCGAAGTTAACTTTGTTAAGGGGTAGGGGGAGTAATGATTTCTCAGCAAACAGAGTTGATTTTTTAACGATAAATGAACATTTTAGAATTTTGTTGTATGCGGGGAGAGGGGGGTCAAACCATAACGAAATTAACTTTCCCACTACTGTTGATAATCAGGAGACCATTCATTACAACCATACATTGCTTTAATTTGACACCCTCTTTAATTTGGCAATTTAACAATTCTTACAAAATCTAAACCTTGGTCATTAACAAGTTATCTTTTTTTAAATTAAAATCAATGTACCATACTTACAGGTTATAGTGAAACAATGCCATTTAAATTCATATTTTCACCAAAAATTGTAAAATTAAGAAGCCAAAAATGTTCTCATATATTCGAATTGCAATTTGCCAAATGAAACATTGCCATATTAAATCCAAACAAGTTAAAGTTGCAGTACAAGTTTGGCAAAAAACTTATATCGAAAGCTCTCTTCTATCAACAAAATGACTGTAAGACATATTCAATCAAGCCTCAGTATGTGTACAGTTAAGCTATCTACAAAATGTAATATACATGACTGTAAGGCAGATAGACTCAACTTGAGTTAAACAACGGGACATCGCCAGGATTTTAAAATGTTGAGGCAAATGAAAGTCAACTGAGGCATATTCCTTACACCCAGGTCTTCAAGAGGGGACAGTGTCAAGATTAAAAAAAATGCCCCAAAATGTCAGATTGTTATCAAGATTGTGAAGTTTATACTATATGGAGAACCAAATTTTGACCACAATTTTTTCAACCCCCCTTATGTCTGACACTTATTGCCATAGACTCCCTTGCCTTATACATCCACCTGGCTATGCCCTTATGCTTTGCCCCTGTTGTTTATGCAAGCCTAAAATTGCAAAGGAAATGTTAGTAGAAATAAGAAGGCCATTTTTAAATATGATGTACATATAGTATGATTCATTATTGTACTGCATATTCTCATGTTGTTGTCTTGCTACATTTGTGAAATACAATTGGAATTTCTTAATTGTAGGATCCATGATTTCATGACAGACAATGGGTTGTTCCGATAATATAGCCTTTCAATATAGCAGAAAAACTTTGATATATTGGCTAGATTGATGATGTCATTAGCAATATTAGCAATAAGTTATGCCTTGGTCACACTTGCTCAGATTTTCACTACGGTGCCCGGCCAATTGAGTATTTTGTTCAGAAATGTATTCAATTTAGAACAATATATCAATCGGCTGGGCGCCGGCTGAGGAATCGCAGCAAATGTGACCCAGGCCTTAATCTTGTGTTTGCATGTTCAGATTTCTACCTACAACCAATGACATCATCAATTCAGCCAGTATATTACTGTTTTTCTGATATATCCAAAGAAGGCAGAATTTATCTATTGAATTATTTTCCTAAATTTACACTACTAGACTGAGAGGTATAATTCATAAATGTTTCCACAAGATGCATACCCCTTGTACACAATAAAAGTTGATGCGACATAATTAAAAAACTTAATATTGAAAAATGACCTCCAGATTATTAGACTACAAGTCTAAAGATGCTATGGTGGCTAAGTGCTAAATTTGAGATTGAAAAAGAAGAATTAGCAAGGTAAAAACATTATCAAATTCATTCAAATATTTTCTTGTACAATACTGAAAGTAACTTAAGGTGGAACAAGCATTTTAATAACCTCAAGCTAAGATTTTGGCACTTTTTGGGGGTATATAAAGAGAATTTAGCGAGAAAGGTATAAACAGGTTAAGGATCTTTCCCCAAAATCTGGAATTTTCCATAAATATTTGGAATTTTCCATTAAAAACTTGGAATTTTCCCCAGCAAATGTAGGGATTTTTCCATGAATGTTTTCCTTACCAAATCCTCTCTTTGATAAAAGCATGAATAAAACACAAATATTGAAATATTCCTAAAAATACCTCAGCAACGCATACAGTTTTGCCAGTTTAACTTGGCAAAATGTTGAAGGTATCAACAGACATGTTCCGATTAATGAAATTACACCAATTTGTTGCCAGACTAGATACGTTGTAAGGATAAGCAGGACGGGGTACATTCCCAATCTATGGTACATCAATACTGCCTACAAATGAAGAGATATGGTTTATTTATGTTGATTTGTACATGCAGTATAGACAAATATCTTTATTTTCAAAAATATTTATAGACAAATAATATGCACATATTTCATTGTCTGGGACATCCTCCAAAAAATAGTAATATGGGAAAACAGATGCCTCCTGCTAAATATAGGTCGCAACAAGGCACTAACATGCAAAATGTCACTACATGCTAGTGTTGTCGGGATGTGTCATAATCGAACATCGATGCATCAGCAATTTTCAGTAGTAAACATCGATGCACATCGCGATGTACATCGAGAAAAAACCCGAGAAAAGTGCACTGAAATACCGAATGCTAATGCACTAAAATACCTAAATACTAAAATACATCCGGGAACTTCTAGTAACGGTGAAATGAAAGTTAAGTAATTTTTTTTTAGATTAATGGTTCATTCCGACTGGCTAAAACAATTTTAAAGCGAAAGAATATCAGAAAACATTGGAAAATGAAATAAGACATGAGAAAGGTAAGCGATTTGCATCAAAATAAGATAAGAAAGGATGATTTCCAGAAAATTAATTTTTTTAAAAACATCGACGTTTTGTTTCAGACATCGATGCATCGCCAGAATCAGCTTTGGCGATGTATATCGCGATGTATCGATTAATCGGGACAACACTTCTACTAGCCATTTGCTACGGATGACAAATGCCGAACACCAACCACCATAAAAAGTTGGTGATTATAATAGTATTTCACAATAGAAAATTTAAATTTAAATCTGTAATTTTATCAGTGTTGGTTGTTGTTAAATTTCTTATTTTGTACATTTATATTATCAATTTTCAGTTATTTCTGATACATGCCTAATGATATCAGTTATTTTCGGGATCTTTTCTTAGTGATTTTTAGGAATGTTCATATCAAAAATATTCATAAGCCTTCCTCAATGTTCTCTCACAATAACACCAGCAAATAATTATCAAATTTTTCCTCTAGGGACACCCATATATTACTTACCAGGTCAAAGCGCCTCACATCATTTGACATGAGGTTAACAATTTTCCCAGTTGTAGTTTGGCCCATGGCTTGATTTGAAAGTCTCAATGTCTGGAAAAATATAATGGTTAATTAGCATGTTTTGAAATCAGTAAAAATGCATTAGATAATATTGAAATTGACATATCTTACAATCATAATTCATCTGAGCCTATACATTCATGAGAATAAATTTAATCAAAATTGAATCGTAACAAAATTTGAGAGACAGTTCTTCTTAAGTTGAATCAAAAATCAAGATTTAAATGAAAGTATATAACTAAAAATTATTTGATTAATTGAGTTGTTCACAACCACCATGCATCCAATGACACAATATCAATGACAAAATAAAATCCTCGGTAACTTTGGTATTTCATCATAGGTTATCTCAATGAGTATGCGTTCGACACATAGTGAACAGAACCCCCCCTATGTTTATCTAGGTTAAACTACATGTACAAGTTCCCATTATCTGTGGTTTGACATAATATTTCACAAACTACTTACCTTTTTATACATCAATGAACAACATGCTATTCTAATCTGCATTCCTATTCGCTGAACCCCAAAGAAATATGGGTGATGGACAACAGCCAGGTTTATGGCACATAGACTGACCCCCATAGCGTATAGATAGGCTTCCGTCTGTGTCACGTTTGCTTTAGGGTCAAAGTAGCGTATAAGACCACCCAGTAAAAGCGGCTGACAGACCTTAGTTAATTCCTAGAAATATAAGAAATAATAATATCATTTTTAATAACATATAGTGAAACATGTAGAGTGGAACACCTCTAAGAGTAGAACACCTCTGTTAGTGGAACACTTTTTTCAGACTTCCATGACCAAAATGACTTAATGTTTAATGAACCTCTATAAGTTGAACCCCTCCCAAGTGGAGCACCTCCCATGTGGAACAGTTTTAGAGGTACCAAAGGTGTTCCACTTAAGACAGGTTTTAGTGTATCAAATATGGCGTCAAAGTGATATAAATGCTTACCTCTATAAAAGCTATCAGTCCAAGTAGTCCATATTGCTTTCCAAATGTTCTAATCAAGGCCCAGGAGAGACTGGCCGATTCTTTCTCATTTTTCTTCACTTTTTCTAGTTCTTTATTCCACTCCCTATAATCAATAATCAACAGTCAATTTATGTTTTCACTAATTTTACAAAATCTGAGGTCTTAAAACCATACATGTGTACAAGAAGGAAATATGATAGACACATACGATACTTGAATAATATTCCTTTTTATTTTCTCAATAACATTTTCAAGTTACCATTCATTCTATCTTTATTTATAAATCAATACTTAAATTTTAAAATTTCATCTTTAAAGGTTTGTATTTAGAATAGAATGAATGTTAGACAATCTAATAGAGCTTTGATCCTGTATGTTTTCTGCATAAACTATATAATATATAAAATGATAGAAGCTTTTATGAAAATCCCTTTATCAAAGATTTCTAGCTAAGATTTGTATATCTGCTGTGGGCCTTTAACTGTAGTTGAGCTTTTACTAAAGTTCACAAACAGTGTCACTTTAATAAAACACCTTATTGATAGAATGAACAAAATGTCACCACCTAAAACAATTTGGTCACATTAAAGCAAGTTGAAAAAATACCTCTTTGACTTTTTTTGACATTGAGAAGGTCATTGAAGGTCAAATGTCAAATCTAAAGTCAGATTTGAACTACTGAGAACATGTAGATGATTTTGAAAAAAAAATAGTCAATTTGAAGCAAGTTGAAAAAAGACCTTTTTGACCTTGAGAAGGTCATTGAAGGTCAAATCTAAAGTCAGATTTGAACTTCTGAGAACTTGTAAAGTCAAATTTGAACTTCTGAAAAGATGTAGATGATTTTGAAAAAAAAATTTGGTCAATTTGAAGCAAGTTGAAAACAGACCTTATTGACCTTTTTTGACCTTGAGAAGGTCATTAAAGGTCAAACGTCAAATCTAAAGTCAGATTTGAATTTCTGAGAACATGTAGATGATTTTGAAAAAAAAATTAGTCAATTTGAAGCAAGTTGAAAAAAGACATTTTTGACCTTTTTTGACCTTGAGAAGGTCATTGAAGGTCAAATGTCAAATCTTAAGTCAATCTTAAGTCATATTTGAATTTCTGAGAACATGTAGATGATTTTGAAAAAAAAATTAGTCAATTTGAAGCAAGATGAAAAAATACCTTTTTGACCTTTTTTGACATTGAGAAGGTCATTGAAGGTCAAATGTCAAATCTAAAGTCAGATTTGAATTTCTGAGAACATGTAGATGATTTTGAAAAAGAAATTTAGTCAATTTGAAGCAAGTTGAAAAAATACCTTTTTGACCTTTTTTGACTTTGAGAAGGTCATTGAAGGTCAAATGTCAAATCTTAAGTCAAATCTTAAGTCAAATCCAAAGTCAGATTTGAATTTCTGAGAACACGTATGTGACATTCGGATTTTTATATTTTCAATAACCCTGTTATGGAGGGCTAAATATTTCATTTTACAGTTTTCTATAGGATAATCAAACCCTGCTGGGAGCTTAACTTTCATTCACACTTCACATGTTTTCTTCAGTATTAGCCTCAACTTTCAAACAGCCAGGACCTGGTAAGAATATTTCATCATTTTATCCACTTTTTGTCCCTTTTGAATATTTCAATATTATATTTGTCAATTCTACTTTATTATATATATATATCTTTTATTGACTCTCTGATGTCATTACAATGACATATTAGTCACTAAAAACTACAATCTACAAAACTGACCTAAGACTAAACTAACTATTGAATACAAAAATAAAGTTGTTGTCAAATACAATTGTCAAATCTAATTACATCATCAAATGTAAAATACAGAATACAAGATAATTGTAAAATACAAATATAACTTGACAGAAATTTAAATATCAGTGTGATGCATCGTTGACACATTAATCCAATTTTTTGAGTGAATGATAGATGAACTTTGCTAAATGTAAAATTACATAAGAATTTTTTTTAAAAATAATGTCAGGACTGCCTACAAAATTAAATTGTATAAGGGTGTCAAACAAATTTTTTCTTTCTGTAGTGTTTTTCTTACAAATCATGATGAAGTGTTGTTCATCTTCTAAAATACCACAAATATTACATAAACGTTCATCTACAGGTTTTGGCTTTGGTTTTAAATGACGACCAAGTTCTATATGTAACTTGTGGGAACTAAGCCTAAATCTACAAATTGCTTGCCTGTAATTTTTATTTTGGATATTTAAATAACTCTCTCTTTCAAAGACATTTTTGAATTTAACATAAGTTCTCAAGACAGGGTAATTTCCACATAACTTTAGCTTCAACCTAGTGTAAATACTATTTTTGTATTTTGAATACTTTTTGAGATATTTACTTGAGTATTTCTATTTTTCACCGTCATGACAGTTTTGGCATTTGTGCATATAGACATTTCATAAAGTTACATTCTTTGTCAATAAACAGATAGTATCCCTACATTGTTATTTGTGACAAGTATTTGGTAATATGACTTATCTTGCCATACTTATTTTATAGCCACGGGTCTACCAGTGGGCTTTCTAGTGCTAATACTCACCACCCTGTTGAGATATATTTAGGTACTTTTATATTTTTATTATTGTAAACCTTCACGGTGATGTCCTATTAAATCCATTTAATTTCATTATATTTGATATGGTAACTATAATCTATAAAGTGTATCAAGCACTGTGTTAGGGTTTATTTTGGAAACATAACAAGGGCCCTTTTTAATTCCACAGCCCTCTCACTAACTGGTTTTATCGTATAACTGTAGATTATTACATTGTATTGAATGCCTTATGTATATGGTGTACGTGTACCTTAATATATTTCTTTACATTTTAGGGTCAAGAGTGGGTGCCCTAGCGGGTGGCCTGGTCATTAAGCCAGATAGATTTTGGTCATTTAGGCAGATAGATTTTGGTCATTTAGACAGATAGATTTGGGTTATTTAAGCTAGATAGTATTCAATTTAAGCTCGATATTCATTTTAAGCTAGCTATTCACTTTAAGCTAGATTGTCACTATAAACCAGATATTTTATTCAATTTGCATATATATTTTGAAATAAATCAGTGTTTTATAGTTGTACATCATTTTCGTGTTCCCATGTGTTGTCCCTCGCCCCATGGTTACACGTAGATGATTTTGAAATTTTTTTTTAGTCAATTTGGAGCAAGTTGAAAACAGACCTTTTGACCTTTTTTTTTACCTTGAGAAGGTCATTGAAGATCAAATGTCAAATCTTAAGTCAGATTTGAATTTCTGAGAACACGTAGATGATTCTGAAAAAAAAATTTAGTCAATTTGAAGCAAGTTGAAAACAGACCTTTTTGACCTTTTTTGACCTTGAGAAGGTCATTGAAGGTCAAATGTCAAATCTAAAGTCAGATTTGAAGGTCAAATGTTAAATCCAAAGTCAAATCTAAAGTCAGATTTGAATTTCTGAGAACATGTAGATGATTTTGATTAGTCAATTTGAAGCAAGATGAAAAAATACCTTTTTGACCTTTTTTGACATTGAGAAGGTCAAATGTCAAATCTAAAGTCAGATTTGAATTGTTGTCCCTCGCCCCATGGTTACACGTAGATGATTTTGAAATTTTTTTTTAGTCAATTTGGAGCAAGTTGAAAACAGACCTTTTGACCTTTTTTGACCTTGAGAAGGTCATTGAAGGTCAAATGTCAAATCTTAAGTCAGATTTGAATTTCTGAGAACACGTAGATGATTTTGAAAAAAAATTTAGTCAATTTGAAGCAAGTTGAAAACAGACCTTTTTGACCTTTTTTGACCTTGAGAAGGTCATTGAAGGTCAAATGTCAAATCTAAAGTCAGATTTGAAGGTCAAATGTTAAATCTAAAGTCAAATCTAAAGTCAGATTTGAATTTCTGAGAACATGTAGATGATTTTGAAAAAAAAATTAGTCAATTTGAAGCAAGTTGAAAAAAGACCTTTTTGACCTTTTTTGACCTTGAGAAGGTCATTGAAGGTCAAATGTCAAATCTTAAGTCAAGTCTAAAGTCATATTTGAATTTCTGAGAACATGTAGATGATTTTGAAAAAAAATTAGTCAATTTGAAGCAAGATGAAAAAATACCTTTTTGACCTTTTTTACATTGAGAAGGTCATTGAAGGTCAAATGTCAAATCTAAAGTCAGATTTGAATTTCTGAGAACATGTAGATGATTTTGAAAAAGAAATTTCGTCAATTTGAAGCAAGTTGAAAAAAGACCTTTTTGACCTTTTTTGACTTTGAGAAGGTCATTGAAGGTCAAATGTCAAATCTTAAGTCAAATCTAAAGTCAGATTTGAATTTCTGAGAACACGTATGTGACATTCGGATTTTTATATTTTCAATAACCCTGTTATGGAGGGCTAAATATTTCATTTTACAGTTTTCTATAAGATAATCAAACCCTGCTGGGAGCTTAACTTTCATTCACACTTCACATGTTTTCTTCAGTATTAGCCTCAACTTTCAAACAGCCAGGACCTGGTAAGAATATTTCATCATTTTATCCACTTTTTGTCCCTTTTGAATATTTCAATATTATATTTGTCAATTCTACTTTATTATATAGATATCTTTTATTGACTCTCTGATGTCATTACAATGACATATTAGTCACTAAAAACTACAATCTACAAAACTGACCTAAGACTAAACTACAGTGCTGATATATAATAATATAGGGTGCGTTTTCAAACTAAAAAGAGTGTTCCTACCAAAATGAATTTGCCTAGATACCCCTGAAACTCTTATCTGATAGATAGAATGCACAAATAAAACAAAAGTTTTGCAATTATAGGTAAAAAGTTCTCTTGAAATTTCGAAGTTATTTTACCTGTTAATTCTGTCCATGGTCGGCCATTTTTGCGGAAGTTACACTGAAACGCAAACTCCATGAAACGAAACGAAATCACTAGAAAAAACATGGCACACATTGTGCGCATGTGCAGCAAAGTTTAGACCAATTAGATTATTTGATTATTTTGCGAACGTGAATTATTTGCTTCCGAGCACTTACAAGCTTACCACAATAAACAAACCTGGCAGAGACTACCCTTAGCCTACTTCATTTTGGCGAAATTT